CCTAAAACTAGAGACATTCGGGTTTAGCTGTACTTCTCTTAAGACAGCTAAACCTGAATGTTTCTAGTTCTAGTGTTAGTTCTACTTTTAGTTCAAGAAAAATATACAACAATCTAGTGCTGAATAACAATTAAGATTAGAACTACCCTCCTTGATTTGTACATCGTAACATTGTAATAAAATGCTTTTAACGTTTGAAACGTTAATATCAACAGATTATAAACTGTTATTCTCTCCAGTGACTCTTTATAACGCAGTGCGCATATTCTTGACAGAAAGACTCTTTGTGCATGGTGATATTGAGGACGTATATAGAACTATCAAAAGATTATCGGGGCAGAACCAATCGAGAATGTCGTATACAAAAAGCTATTTGCGATGGAATAGGCATCAAAGTACTGGAATAGTAAACTCAAATGGTTTGTAGTAAGACAATGATGTCGTAAGAACATTACACACCTATGCTTACTGATACGTAGCATAAATTGAATTACTTACTGATATGTAGCAGTTTCCAATAATATGTTCTGAGTGTTGCTTCCATTGAAGTGGAAAGGGTGCAAAACCCATTTTGTTTCGATTGACATTTTAGGAAAAGTGAAAAATCTAAAGTCTTAGTGGGAAAATTGATTGTCAAGGTAATAAAGTAACCCACTTATTGAAGTTCATACAACCATGAGGAAACAATGCCTGATGAAGAAGCTTAAACTTCTAAAAACGCTTTTTTAGAATTTTTGGTAGATTATAGATCTTGAATTTAAGTCTGGTCAAAATCAAAATCACGTCAAAAACTTTTATGAGAAAATGAAATACAGGTTAACGCCCCCGCCTGAGGTTTATGATGGTTATGACTCCTAGATGAAGAATTATGTACTTCTCAATCTTCATTTAGTTAGTAGATATTGTAATAATATCACTTATGATAGTATTAAGAGGTGGCGTTAATATAAAAAAATAAAAGTCATGGAAACAAAAAAAAAAAAAGGAAATGATAGTAGTAAATAAACAAAAAAAGCGTTAAGTCGAATTTTTGAATTAACGATTTTCTGTTTGAACCTGCTCCCAAAATATACTATGATATATGTAAAAATTGTGTTTTGATAATAAAATACACGTCCATCACAATTCTGGCGCCCAACGTGGGGCAATTCAAAAGACAATTTAATTATACAATCGTTATCCTTAGAGTAAAAAAACTATATTAATTAAAACTAAAAAATAAATCAATAAAGATGTCCGAGAGAAAGACTAGGGGAAGAACTTTATCAAAAACTGAAGAAATAGAGAGGGAAGAAAGATCTTTGAGTAGAACCACAACGGGAACTCATGACATCGGAGACACAGGTGAAGAAACAACACCGAAACCTTCGACATCTAAAGATAAAAAAGAGGAAGAACAAACAAGTGAAGGTACGTCTATAGAGGAGATGATGATTAAATTTATGGAAGAAAATAGGAGAATAAATGAAGAGAATCAAAAAAGAATCGATGGAAAATTACAAAAATTAAATGAAGAAAATCGAAAAATAAATGAAGATAACAAAATAAGAGATGAAAATAATAGAGTAATAAATGAAGGAAATCTAAGAAAATTAAATGAAGAGAACAAAATCATAAATGAACAAAATCAAAGAAAATTAAATGAAGAGAACAAAATCATAAATGAAGAAAATCTAAGAAGAATAAATGAAGAAATAACAACTAAAATAATAGATGAAAACAAAAGAATGAGAGACGAAAATAAGAAACTAAATGAAGAAAATAGAACATTAATAGTAGAAAATTTCGAAATAATTAAAAAAGAAAATGAAATAATTATGAAATAATCTTGCAAAATTGGAACAACTATTAAATAATCAAATAGAAAGTATAACTAAAGCACTAGATGGGAAGATAACGTATCAAATTAACGAAAAGATTGAAACAATTAGACAAGAAAACACAATTCAAATTATTACGACAATAGATCAACAAATAAATGAGTATTCCGATAAAATTAAAGAAAATAGAGATAATATTATAAATTTAAAAGAAGAAACACATAAAAATTTAAATAGTTTACAAGAAGAACAAGATAAATTAAAGAAAGATANACTGATACGTAGCATAAATTGAATTACTTACTGATATGTAGCAGTTTCCAATAATATGTTCTGAGTGTGTTGCTTCCATTGAAGTGGAAAGTTTCGTTTCGATTGACATTTTAGGAAAAGTGAAAAATCTAAAGTCTTAGTGGGAAAATTGATTGTCAAGATAATAAAGTAACCCACTTATACATTCATCAGAGTCGTGTTCCAATCATAACTCTCGCGATCTATACGAAAATTGCACTTTGAAGTTCATACAACCATGAGGAAACATTGTCTCATAAAAAAGCTTAAACTTCTAAAAACGCATCAGGTCAAAAACTTTTATGAGACAATTAAATGCAGGTTAAGACGAAAAAGATGAAGAATTATGTACTTCTCAATCTTCACTTGGTAGATAAATGCCAACAATTTCAATAAATCTGTAAAGCAGTTGGTATTGGATATTGTTCAAGCACTTGCTCATTCTGAAAAGTAGACCAAAAAGGGTTCACCTGCCTGTACGTACCGCAAAAAGGAGGTGAATGTATTTGATTGTACATGAAAGGAGCTAATATGCGAAAAGTGTGGAAGTAGTCTATATTCTTGGAACTAGATCACTTTGGAGTTTGCGAAAATCCATCACTGCTTTTTTAGTTTACAAACTCCTGAAACTCTGCTATGAAAACCTTTAGCTTATTATTCTTCACATTGACCTGACAGGTACTTTAGTGTACTATTGTAGATATCGAGGGCAATCGTTAATATAAAAAAATAAAAGTCATGGAAACAAAAAAAAAAAATGATAGTAGTAAATAAACAAAAAAAAAGCGTTAAGTCGAATTTTTGAATTAACGAATTTCTGTTTGAACCTGCTCCCAAAATATTCTATGATATATGTAAAAATTGTGTTTTGATAATAAAATACACGTTCATCACAATATTATATTACAGTAAATGCCAACAATTTCAACAAATCTGTAAAACAGTTGATATTGGACATTGTTCAAGCACCTCATTCTGGAAAGTAGACCAAAAAGGGTTCACCTGCCTGTACGTACCACAAAAAGCAGGTGCGAAAAGTGTGGAATTAGTCTGTATCTCTGGAACTAGATCACTTTGGAGTTTGCGAAAATCCATTACTGCTTTTTTAGTTTACAAACTCCTGAAAGTCTGCCATGAAAACCTTGAGCCTACTACTCTTCACATCGACCTGACAGGTACTTAAGTGTTCTATTGCAGATATCGAGGGCAATGTACAAAGAAATTTGACGTACATTTTCTTCGGTTTCAGTCTAAATTTTGGCATCAACTGAATCGTTTGGGTTTAGTTTAATTTAGAACTCATCGATTTCATATTCTCATCGACTATTTAATTCCATAAATTTCCATGAAACAGATAAGAAACATTCTTCAACATGGAACTCTTTCTAGACTACAAGTAATCGCGATCAGATGTCGGCGTCCAACTGATGTAATTTCAAGATTTTATTAAAACCGGTGATGAAAATGCTGTTTCAATACTCTTACAAGAATATTTGTAGACTTTAAGACGTAGTTCATACAGTCCTACCAGTTATCAGGTGTTGTCTTTGCAAGGCAGTCCTTGAAAAGTCTTTTAACATAAGCAAATTTAAATGTTTTATTATTTGCTTCAACATCTTCTAAACGGAGAATCTTGGAACTCATTCCTTCCATAAAAAGGTCGATTCGGTGCTGAATATGTTGATTTCACATGAAGTCTTTTTGTTTTGGTAATTAATCAAGCCAGAAATAGGTAAGATTCCTGGGGTAAGACTCCTGCTTTATCTGTTCGTAACCTAACGCAGCAAGTACAAGAGCTATAGGCTTTAATAAAGGAGGTGTGAAAAAGTATTTAGTGTAGGCACCAAAAAAACCATTGAAAATTTATATCTCCTATGCAGAAACTTCAACACTAGATAGGTGATTATTCAGTTATTTCTTGTATGGTTTCGAAAATTTGTAGAATTTTCTTGAACATCAAAAAACTTCTCTTGTATTAGACTCACTCTTCAAATCTAGCTATGACGTAACCCAGGAAAAATCGTAACTCTTTCAAATTTCAACATTTTTCGGATCAATTATCCAAAATACAACAATTAACTGCTATTAATGATTTCTAAGGTACAAGGAAGTAGGTAGTCAATTAAACTGTCCATATTCACCGATGACAATGTTCTCCCCGCAAACATAATTGACATCAGAAAATGTCATTGTATCTGTATCTGATTAATTGGAATTGTTTTCAGCTAAAATATCACCTAAAAAGATATGCCAACCAGGTTGGTTGATAACGGTGGGGACGTCGTTGCAAATGCTTATAATGACATACCGATTAAGAAGATCCAATTTAATGAGACTAAATGTAGCCTAAAATTCTAAAGATTATTTCAAAACTTAAAGAAGGAACGGAAAAGATGTTTTGAAAAAGTGGAGAGATTTCAAAAGACGTTTCCATAAAAAAGGGCATGTATTAGTTTAATCATAGTTACTCAAATTCACTATTTCCTTTGTAACAGGATAACGATTGTTACTGTTAAGACCACGTAAGACACAGACTTATATATTAAAGATTCCCTACAGTTACAAAATTAATCGGCGGTATTTCCCTGTATTCATAGGACGTATTAATCAGCTTCGAGGTATACCAAGAAAAATAATTCTTTACCATTAAGAATTTCCACGTGACACCAAAGAAAAATACGATATAGTTTTTATCTAAATCGATTTAGAGTTGTTTCTAAATCATCGAATCACTCAAGTTTAAGTGCATGAATTATTGTGTGGCCTCAACATCGGTGTGTAGCGAAATATTTGCTAATACACGTCTTTTAATATTAAGTCTATTGTTAGAAATAAAAGCAATATCATGTTGTTTAAATGTCGGACTTGTTTATTATTTATTTTACTTACGTGCGATGAAGGGCTGGCAGGTTGGTGGATGGGAGATGTTTGGCTGGCCGGGGGTGTAGATCTCTGTCGCAGTCGGGCTAAGGCCGTGCGGAGCCCCTCCGTTATAACGTTCTCGCCATCACCCCTAGAACAAAACGTAACATATAATGGAAACCTTGAAAAGGAAACTTGTGCAATATCAAAAATTCACAACGCAAAGAAACACTGCGAATACACAGTAATCGCTTTATCGTTCTTCTACGTTGAACATTGTTTGCCTCAAGACAGAAACAGCAATAGCGGGCACCGAATATTCCGCTTGGAAAACCTTTTGGAAAAATGGTATTACGTCGTCTGGTAATGCAGACTGAGTACATTCGTTGTAAAGTTTATTTAAGGGATTTTATTTGATTTTAGAAACACAGTTCTACAAACACGGTATTTTTCAAGTTCAAATAAACTTTAATTTAGGTTTCGAATCTACTTCCGCTTTTCTAGTTTGTAAACATCAACAAAATTGTTTCATCCAAGCTTTGCAATATTAGTATATAATACATATTTTAACTTTATATTCTAATAAACTTTAATAAAGAGTTCTTACGAAGTATTTCATAAAATACTCTGTGATTTCAACTTATTTAAAATTGTAAAGTTATTGTTAAACTATGTAAATGTCGCCATATTTTTCTTGATATCTATTTTTTGTATTACATTTTTATTTCAAATTTGGTTTTGTTGGTCAAATGGTCTTGTTCTAGTGACAGTGTAATAATTGTTTTAGAAAGGGTGCTTCGCAAAAGAGATGTCGTTATTCTAACCATGAACAGGGATGCCCGGACAAATTGGGCTAACCCTCATGGTCTTTGATCCCGTAATAAATTTGATAAAACTATCCCGTACTGATTTCACGTATCGTGGACAGTTACAACATAGTTCCTACGAAGAAGTTGACCTTAATTCGACTTTCCGTATTATTGATTGAACTTTACAGTTCAAAAATTTTATTTTAGACAAATCCTATTTCCTAAGGTAAAGTAACTGTTTATAACAGTAAGTGCTCAAAAATACTCAACAATGTAATGTGATGGAGAGGTTTATAAAATATCTATTGATTTTGTAAAGATTTAACAAAATATGAATCAACTGGGAACTTATAACTTTATAGTTAACTTGATTAATGATAAAAATGCCACCAGAAAGTTTAAGTACTGGAGGGTTGGATGAAAAATCTGCTTAAAGAGAACCAAGTTTCACATGAAATGGTTAAAGTTTAAGACTTGAAAGAGAAAACTGTGGGAAATCTTAATACAAAAAGATTAACCTATATACGTCCCAAATGAGTAATTAACAAAAAATGTGCCAAAAACCATTTTCGCCTTTCTTTGACTAAATTAATACCGTTTTCTTTTATTTCGTTAAAATTGAAAGCACGAATTTCTAATTGTTCCGAGGTCGCCGGAACTTTTGTTCCTTTTTGTATTAATTAGTACAGGTTCCGGTTTGAAAAGGATTTTTTTTTAATAAATCCCTCGAGTTTATCTTTTGTTCGTTATGTTATATTTGTATTTGAAAACAGAAATGTTCTTTAAAAATTTCTCACCGTGAAAACGAGTCTGTCTCTATAAAATCCATTTGGGAATCATTCATAATTCATTGAGTGGGATAACCGCTCGGAAAAAGCAACCCATTTAATCGTTTTTCCCTTCAAGTTTCAGAAATGGTGAAAAGGAAATGATGGCCGAGGTAAAGATTAGGAGTTCTGCTACCGGTTTAAAAGGAAAGCATCAACGAAGTTTATCGGCTTTAGATCCGAGATTTTGTTTACTCGGCACGCCCGGTTCCATCTCCTTCTGCTACTGGAATCCTCGACCGTGTTCCGGAATAAGAAATGAACCCTGTTTTGGGACTATGGTAACTCGAACACCAAAGTACGGACACCCCGTACTTTCTAAGAAGTTGAAAATCATTTGTTACTATTACAAATATTTAATAACCAAGATTAATGAGATTATTTAATGTTTTACTCCGATTTTTAATCATACGTTTGTATCCTGCTAAATTTGCTAAAGAAACATTTACCTTCTAAAATTTTCCGACATTCTCTGTTCTGCCAATTAAACTTAAACACACAACGAAATCCATTGGGAAGGTATATTAACACACCATCTATGCAAAGTCTATGAATCTAATAAAGATGGATATAATATATATAATAAAGTTACAAAGAGTACACCAGTTCCATTTGAAATCAGAATCATGTAACAGATGTTTCCTCTCCTCTTTACAAAGTCTACACTATATCCGGGAAGGTAAATTGTCCGTATTTGAAAGCTCGCCGATATATTTATCAGCTTAAGCGTCACCTGTCACCCTTCAAAGTTAAACCGCTTAGATAGCGGCGCTCAATTCTACCTGAACCCTTGATTGTACTGTAGAGAACACGTATCTTTATAAAACCCATATTAAACATGACGTAAATAATTAATAAAGCTTTACATACATTCAAAATTTCGAAACCGTAAGTAACGTTTCTGAAGTGAATATTTCTATGTTATTATCGTTTTAGGTATACAAATCCTACGACATTGTCAAACTAGTGTTCATTAGTCTCATTGCAAAACTGGGGATTATAGCTGTTTGCATGTCATACTCTAATTAACAAGGTACCGGGATTATTGATCAAATGTTAGGAATTCTGTTGGGTTATGTTACATTAATAGGAACAATCAAAACCAGCATCCATCCTATGTTATGCATACAACGTATTTACACATTCAACTTGAATATACTTGCAGAATTAATTGAAAAAGTTATGATGTAATGAACGACAGAAAAATATCTTCGAAAAAGTAGTTAAATTGACGTTGATGATAATCTAAAAACGACCAAGAATCTCGATGCGATTATCTTTCTGCGTCATATGCGCGCTTCTAAATCGATAGATAACAGCGCACAGAAAAATTTATCAATACCTATAATAAGATAGTTTGTGAGTGTCTTAGATTGCGGTGAAGTTTGGCATCAACCAAATTAAAAATGAAAAGTATATAGGAAAGTTGTAAATACAGAATAATTATTTTTAAAAAGTATTTCTTTTGTATAATACAACCAAATTGACGAATAGTGACATTTACTGGTTCTAAGTGTAAATATATCGCTCTTTTTAGGAATTTCAACGATGTGTGGCTTTCAGTCTAACATTAATTCAGTCTAACATAAGTAATTTGTGTACGTATATTCTCTCGCATATACGTAAATAACTATGCTTTATCGATTTGCCTAAAGCATTCCACGGAGTGCGATTGGGAGAGACACAATGAGGTAATGATTAAAATAAGGGCTAGAGAAGCACTAACGGAAAATATCCCCACATCAGTCGGCATCCGACAAAATGATCTCATCCCATATTTGTTCAATTTATTAATGGACAACATAATTGAGGAGTGATAAATTTAAATTTAGGATATAAAATGGACTACGTGGTCGACGTTGCGATAATCACCAGCACAGAGAATGACCTGCAAACACAATTGCAGAGGTTCTATCAAGCAAATGGAAACCTGAACAACTGTCTCTACTTACAAGATCAATCAATAAGGACAATATGAGATGGGGAAGCCAACGCAGGAGATTTTGGCACAACCACGTTTGTAGAATGCCTGGCAACAAACTATCAAAAAGTATGCTTATAAATAACCTACCCGGGATCAGATCACCAAAGAGATGAAAAGATAACTGGCAGGAATCTGCTCAGGGGATATTTCAGAGTCAGATCTTATCAAGAACAGCAGACACAAGGGTGTGTAGGCAGAAGATAAAGAAGTGTTTTGTTCGATTCTTGAACTTTCGGAAGGAGTTTCATCTATTCAGAAGAGGACATTACGGATTACCATTAATCACTACGCACAATGGAAAAACTTCAATGTTTCCTGCGAAGATCCCAAGGATTCATATTTGTTGCAATGCTACGTCTCCCTCTTGTTTTCTTTAAAAGAGTTCTAAGACAAGATATGGAAAAGGTACTGGAAAGAGACCCCAACCCAACACTATTAAATCGATGATGATTCGAAAACCGAGCGTTTGTCCAGCAAATTCACAAAAAGGGGTTGAGTTGGGTTGAAATTATTAACTCTTTCCTTCCCAAACTAATTCCACCACTGGAAGTCGAAATAGGAATTTAAATGTGGTATCCATTTATGGTAGCCATCCATGGGAATGAAAGGGTTAACAAGCTTATAATCACAATGATATTTTTCATTTAATACTGCGTGTACCCGATTGACAAGAAGATATTGCTCCAAGCTCAAGAACCTACACCACAGACAAATATCAACTCATGCGTACTTATAAAATATTACTAATAAATATTATTATTACTGTTATTACCTCCGAGGAGCGGCCCCTCTTGTCACCGCGACCTAGAAGACCTATCGTAACTTTAGCTTCAGTATTGCTTCAAGGTCTTGTTCATTTATGTCGGTAGATGTCGAAACAGCATTACAGAAAATGTTGTGTCTTAGGCAGCCTCTGGCAATGCAATTACACAATATATGTTCAGCCGTTTCTGACTCGTCGTTGCAAAGTCGACAAGTTTAATCCTCAGCTTGTCCAATGTGGAAGAGGTGGTATTTTAGGGGCGCATGGCCGGCCAGGAAACCTGAGAGCGTCCTTAGATCCTGTTGATTACTTGTTTTAGGTGGCTTTTTTGTAGTCCACAACCGGGTTGGGGTCCAAGGAAGAGCGTTTTCGCTGTCTCTTTGACCAGCTTGCCCGCCGTCTCATCGCCCTCAATGTCTCTGTGTCCTGGAACCCACCACAGAGTAACATCATTACCGCTAGTGAGTTCTCTCGGGTTGCTATGGATACACCTTTCTTTTCCTTTTGTAGGTTCAAAGCGGTGCAGAAGTTTATAGCACAGGTACTTCTGCTTGAAAAATGTTTATGTCCGCGCTGAGAGGCAATTTAATGCGACTATTTCGTCCACTAATGCCCATGCCTACTCCAGATCCAACTGTCTTTGAAGCATCCGTGTACTAGGCAAAGGCTCCTCTTTTTAGTTGAGGCCCACCCTTCGTCCAACCATCCCTGCTTCTAATTATGAGCGTATACAGCTGGTCGAAATTGTATTCTGTCGGTATAAGGTCCGTTTTAATTTCAATTAAGTTTTTTAGACATGGGTCCTTGAGGATTTCGAGGTGTCCTCTAAGGTTATCCTGCATCAACTTGAATGAAGAGCATCTTTTTAGTCATAAGGCAATTAAAGCTGCCTCGTGTTGTAAGTATAAATGAAGTTGTGTGAGACTGAGCTTCAAGAGCAACCGTTGGACAAGATCTCATTGCACCCGTTATATTAATCTGCCGACTTTTCAATATGGTTATACACCATTTGATTGTCGAAGGATGTATATCTTTTACGTTTAGAGCATTCTCTATGGATTTGTTATGAAAAGCACCCTCTATGTCTATGAACGCACATAGGGTTATCTCTTTGGTTGCAATTGTCTCCTCTGAAGTGTCAAAGCTCTTGTCAAAGTATGGAGAGCAGTTGCTTTTGCTTTCTGGTAAACATGTTGACTCGGATGGAGTGGCTTAGCGACAAGCACTCCGTTCCTAAGGTATTGATCAATTACCTTTTCCATTCTTTTGAGGAGAAATGAAGGATAATTGGCGTTAGAACGCTTACCACCTTTAGGTATGAATTGCCTAGGGATATTATTACTGGGAGCACGTCTTGTATGCTTTTTTGCAGAAAAATAGGCAGAATTCCATCCACTCCAGCTGATTTTAAGGGCTTAAATAGCCCACCTTATATCCATTACATCAGGGTCACCGCGACCTATAAGATCTATTGTAACTTGAGCCCTCCAAAGGTTTAGGGTAAATGTAGGTCCTTGATGAACCTCAGTATTAAGAGCTTAAGGACACCTTAATGCGGCTTTTTGGATGATGCCCATATCTACTCCCGATCCTACTGTCTTTAAAGCATTAGTGTAAGGAATGGGTATAATGTAGATCTTATTATTTGCTAAGTAGTCTTTAAGTTACACAAAATTATTAATCTAATTAATTTTTGTAACTATTAATAACCAAGGTAACCCTTTCACTAAAATGCAAGGTATCAAAAAGAGATATAAATATAAGAACATAAGAATTTTTATTACTATATCATTTATGCCATATAGTAATAAAATATATTATAATTCTAATTTATATTTTTCAAACTAATGTTTAAATACTTACCATATTTCTGCGGAGTTACTTTCACGAAAGTAGGATATCTATCGTTGCCTGTAACTTCGCAGAGGTTCATCTGAGGCATATGGAAAGAAACACGTAACTAATATTTTTAACATACTGTGTCGACAGTGTCGTTTTTATATTATTCTAAAAAATAGGGGCTGATTTATCTGCGGCACATAGGAGGTTTCTTAAACATAAATGTTAGTCTATATTCAATATCACCTTTCAAACTTTATATCTTATCGCAGAAACTTTTTCCGCTGAAAAGAAACGTCAACCTTAATTTGGGCGATAGTAGGGTTCTGCAAAATTTCATCGAAAATCTTTGGCACATCCCTTGTAAGTAAAAGGGGATATACGGATACCAACGTTCATGTAATGTGAGCGATTTTGCTTAATAATACAGGACGCAATTTTAGTAATTTGTTCAAGTTTCTACGTCGATCCTTTGTACTCGCTGACGAAGGATCACCTAAATCGGAAATCTCTCACAGATATATTTCATATTTCCTAAAGGTCAAATGAAGCTTTCGCTTTTCTAAGCATAACTTTATCCGCTCATAGAATCTGTAATAAGTGGTTTACACAGTTGTGCACATAATCATAGAATTTATGTAAATTCTGAAATAATTAAATCGAAAATAATGATTTGTATAAAATCCTGACAATCAAACAACGAAAGTGTTTATCGAAATAACCGATAGCATTATTGAAAATCATTTCATAATCTCTCATTTCATATTCAATATGGTAGTTGAACTTTGTTAGTTGACATGCTAAAATGCCGCTATTCAACAACTATTTGCTTACATAAATAATTTAGCACAAACTAGATTGGAATAAATTGTGAACGCGTGGAATTTTACCTCACCTTAATGCCTTTTAAGTTTATTATGTAAATAATTGCGTGCATATTCAAAAAGGAGAAATACTGTAGCAATAAATCGAACAGGGTAAAACACGAATAAAAAATTTCTTTGAACAGCGAGAGAACCAAGTTATCTACACAAAATGTCAACATTTATGGAATCATACTTTAGCCTAGGGGTGTTCAACCGTTCGAACGCAGATGTATGTAAATATAACAAATATTCAGGGAATAACTCAGAGTAAAACCTATTTTCTGTGACTCGAAAGTAGATTTTACTCCACATAAAACAAACATCCTGTTTAGAATACATATACGTATTCCTTTATCTAGTAGCTGCTTAACTAGGATTAACTTTTTTATAGGAATCGAGTGATTTTTTTCCATACATCGACTGGATAAATATTAACTGTACAGTAAAAAGTTGACAAAATTGCAATATACTTTGTTAACTGTTTCACTCGTTGGGAAATAGCAATCCTAATTTCTCTTCCTATTGACAGCAACACCATCATGTTGTCCTCTGTTTTGAGGGTAGTAACCAGGAAGTTAATATTGGTAAATTGAAAACGTTATTACTGATTAAAAATTGTGATAGATAAGATAAATCTTTATTTGTTAGTTTTCCGAAAAGATCAAGACTATCAAATCAGCTGTTAGCTTTCTACGTGTTTTAAAAATAGACCGAGCTAATCAAAGAACGACATCAGTTAATTTGTTAGATACACGGGATGGATCATCTACATCTTTCGATTCAATTCTTTCGATTCCACCAAATCAACAATTTCATCGTCTCTATCGCATTGGAATAGTTCACAATTGTTACCAAAATATCATCTGGAACTAAACAGCACCAATATTCTAAAGGAGTATACGCCGATCTTACTGCGCCCATTGCTTCTGCTGTCTCTCTAAGAAAATTATGTTTCTTGATTCAAATATTTTTTGCTGGTTGATTAAACACTACCCAGCTTCTTGGTGGGTAATCAATATGGTTGGCATGACAATAAAAAGTGTTTAGACTTGCAGAAAACCTTCGACACAATAAACCATAAAATATTTACGAACAACTCTGCTGCTATCTTATTATATGGGTTGTTCATAAAGAATCTTGGCCATACCATGGAACTCTGTCCTAGACCTTACATTGCTGCTCTCGCATACTAAGGATTAATACACGTTACATCCTGACATATTGCATGAAATAATAAATAATTGGAACCAACAGAAGTAGGTTGTAGAGTTACATTTTATGAGCATAATGGATGCTTTCAAAATAACTGTTCTCAAACGGCAAAACGCTAACACGTTTCTTCCACATAAATGTTACATGGCAAAATTGTAACAGAATATGCTTCAGGGACGTCGCTAGAAAGAAACAACGGGATAGCGAGAAATGGTAAACCATTTTGTAGTAAGCGGGGTAGTATACTTTACGTAGGCTTACTAAAAATGCTACTTGGGTTGTCACTTCACAATTACTATTGTTTTTGATTCTGTTTATTTGTACATCTTTTCATTTTTCTATTATTTGAAATGTTTTTTTTGATTTTTTTATTGCTTTTTGACAGTATATATTCTGAGAAGTTGATCCATAGAGATCAAAATACATAACATTTGATTGAAATTTTCCTCTTCTGCGTGATGATCAATTCTCGAGCAAATAGTGTAAGACTTCTTTTTTGCAATTCTCTAGCTAGGTCAAGAATTGTAAAAAAATATCGGTTGTCGCATTTCTCCTATACTTTCCGATGTATAGGGTGAGGCAGTCACGTAAAGTTTCAGCATCGCATCGAACGGATTTCTAGCGTCTAAGATTCAGTACCATGCAGAAAGATTAAATAAATATTTACTTTCACAAATCTGTATCTAACGTTTAATGATGGTGTGGGGTTTTTTAGTAATTTCTTCATTCTGGGAAATCTGCTCTTTGCATTTCCTAGGTGTTTTCAGAAACAGTCAAGCCTCTCCTGTAAGGTATTGATGGTACTCAATACACTCACTCTAATAACCAAATCTAAAAAGACAGTTGGGACACTCTTACATATTCCAAATGGCGCCCGCTAATTCTATCTATCTAAATAATTTTAGAGTTTAGCACCTTCAAAAACACAGAATGTATCGTAATTACTGCAATAATCACATTTATTATGGGTGAGTGTGACAACATCAAGCATCCAGGGTTTGCTTTTGATTGTAGTTTGCTTTTGCTGTTGTTGGTCGTAATGTTCCATAAACCACCGCCGCAAGTGTTAATTAACATTGTTGATTTGAAGGTTTTTATGTTGTTTTGTAAATTATGCCATTTTCAATCGACCAATTACCTTTTCGTCGATTATCGGAAAAATTTTTGAATGATTTTGCCTTCCATGTGCACACTAAAAAGCATCGTACATCGAGACAGTTTTATAAGAGGTTGTGGGGGCTTTATTTGATACCATCCATGTCCTTTGAGAAGACAGCTTATCGAGACAACGTAAAACTCTTCAAGAGAGATAATTTTTTAGGGAAAAATGTATACAATTATTTACAAAGCACGTCTTCAAAATTGTTATATGATACAGTTACATCATTTGAATAAGCTTATATAATAAATTTCAACATCTTACTTTATTAGCAACTTGATAATAAGTTAAAAGGAGAATGTTTCAAGTGACATATCCAAAAGTAAACTGTGAAACAGCTATCAAAATAATAGCTATATGGGGTTACGGTCTTTGGAATTGTCACAAATAATCGCATTTGAATTACAACTACGTCATGTGGTGTTGAATGTCCAGCTGGACATGGCACGGAACAATCGAGCACCAATTATTACACTGTTGATGGGCTTCAGCTGCATATCTACGAATCCCTTATGAATCGTGGATTGACAGTCGCTGCGGGACGAATGTTTCTCGCACAATAAACACAAATTAATTCGATCACCACGCATCCGATCGAATTAAACCTGGCTGGGACATATTGTCACATCGACAGGAGAATGTCAAGAATACATTAATGAGTGCGTCTAATTCGATTGGCCTGTGACGATTGGTAATCGATTGGGTGTTTATAAAGATAAATTTTGGCTAAAATTTTCACACTAATTAAACGCTTGGGCCTATTTAATTAAATGGCCAATTTTACAATTGCTGTTTAAATTACGGATATAGTAAAGATAAATTTGGGGAGGATAGATATTCAAAACGTAGTGGGTAGTAACGTTTCCTGGTTTACTGTTGATAACTTCTGTGGATTGATTGATTAAAAGCTTTGGGGGGTCATTACTTAACGTCAGGAGTTCCTGGAATCATTAAGACCTATAATCAATTTACACGCGTTTGCTTTCTCATCGATGGAGTTCAATTTACTTAACGTTTCTATTCTGTTTAAATACGTAGAAATTATTAACCAATATGGTTTTAGTTATATAAACCTTATTCTTTTGTATTTTTCTGTATCAAAATTACCTTTTGACACTAACTTGCTAAAAAGGGCTATTGGAAACCTGTCTAGATTTAGATAATTAAACGAGTCATGTAACAATGAAGCCTAAAATTCCCTTTCATCACCATATAACTCCTATACCTTGACACAGTTTCAATATTTCATTCGCGATACTAGTTGAAAGGGACATCTTTTGTGCTCAAATTTCTACAATGTGAGGTTCGGTAGTAGCATTGTTCTGGTCACGTTAGTGTTTTGAATAATGAGTGAGACACTCTATTAACTTCCTGGCCAAATGTTAGCGGTTCCTTTTCAACAAAACATTTTCAATATGTGCTGCGACGGAACGAACGATCGATTTAACGACATCGCCTCTTCTAAACTGTTTTTCAGGCCACATTATTTACGTCGAAAACTGAATATTAATGACGTATTAAGGATATTATGCGACATCTCTGGCTTTATTTGCAGGTTTTATAGGAAAGGTAGGATAAAAACAAACTTTAAAAACTTTCATGTTTTCAACTTGGTGTAATTAAAACATTTTTTCAACAAAAAAAGAGATCAAGCAAATTTGTTTTGATTTTTAAATTTTATAGGTATGTATATTAGACCAAGATAAAAAACGTGAATAAAATGGAACGCGCTCTTACTCTTACCCAGTCTGCAGTACAATGAACCTTTTATTTGCATTTTGAGCGGAGCACTTCTTGATCTCAAACACCGTGTAGAACCTCGTTTTAATTGCTTACGCGGCACTCTGTCCGCCGCTATACTTGCCGATGGACTTTCTGAAAGCCATGTTTCTTATTCCCGCGACAACGTTTAAAAGAATGACACGATCTTGACCCGAAGAAAAGGTTGGTTTTACAGGCAGTAATAAAAAAAAGGAACCAACTGAAACGGTAAATGTTATGATAGGTAAAAAACCAAAAGGTAACGTATTAAACAAACGGGCTACATTGGAAAATTGGGAGAATAACAAAATGAACAAAAAGCTTCAATGCGGTGTCTCGCCGGGGTTTGTTTATTTTGGATTGTTGCCGGCCAAATAAGTTAGCGAGCTTTCGCGGTGCTTTTGTGCGCTGTTCGTGGTCGACGCGATCCCGACGTGTACTGAACTCGTGGGGATGCATATCCTGATAAAAACGGAGAGAATTTGTTCCGCTTCTGACGCAAGCGCCAGATAACGACGCCCTCCACGCCAACTGGATCTGAACAGAACTACGGCACGCAAAAGCTCCGGTACTTGGAGCTTTTGCGTATTAAACCCAGATCATATTACACAGACGTGCGACGTCACGAACCAACTACAATGGTTGGGGATAATACTTTTACTATCGATACGATCATTCAAATAAAAATTTAAAATGATAACAAATAAAACACTTCTTCCATTTCCAATATCGTTTCTTATTAACGTTGAAGCTTTTTAAATTTAACACATACTGAAATTTTTAAAATAAAAAAAAGAGGAGCTTTCATTATTAAGTCTCTACGACACACATCTTTCTTGTAATAAGAAAAGGGTATGAAAAATCCTTTGAAAATCAGGTCGCTCAGTAACAGTCCTCATATTACGCTGACATTTACGATGTTTCCCCGTTCGTGTAAGGTCCCATAGAGGTAATAAACAACCAAGCGTGCACAACACCGCATTTACAACAGCGCAGCGTAGACAATCCCCTTACGACAAACTGCATTATGGGTTCGCATGCTCTTAGATGTGCTGATGCACTTTCCGGCTGATGTAACAAGGGACGCAACGCGAAACTTTGTCGCGGTTTCGACTTGGGAAGCGTGAGATTCCGATGAAATTACATCAGAAGAACACAGGGGATTTTATTGGGTTTGTCCGTCGCGAAACGAGGTGCGAAATTGTCTTATAACTTCGTTGTTACACTCTCTTTGCTTCGCCGCGATCATATTACACCGAATGACGTACGGAAGAAAAAATGATGACTTGAGATCTAGTTGCTAAAGGGGTAGATAACCCCAAGTCTTGATAAATCTTTTAGTGAGCGGTTTACAAAGGGGAAATTACCCCACGATGCAAGAACATGCAAACTATAGACTAGACCTACCTCAACAAAGGAACTTACTTATCTTCCGTGTCGTGACTTGCTTATCTGTACTACAAATTTATAACGACACGGTTATATGCTAATGAATGAAAGAATCTTTGTTTGAAGCGAAAATAGTCATTGAGAAATAAATTCCATTTATTAATCCAAGAATAAAATTAAAAAAAAATCTTTTAATAATTATAAATTCTAATTCTCATCTTAAACTGCAAAATTATGAAACTTCTCCTTCTTCTGAATTTAATTTCGCCTTCCGTGGTTTACCGTTGCCATCTATGACTAGTGTTGATTCTTGATTATTGTAAATGATAAAGATGAAAACTTTGTTCCAAATAAACTATTTGCACAACTTTTTTTTCTTTTTCATGTCACAAAACAAATCATTACAAAGTGAGGTTTGGAAAACCTATAATGGAAATATCAATACTTTGCAATGCATTCAAATCATTTAACTTTAGCAAGAAGACCACAAACAGCCAGAAGTGAACGTGGATCGTGAAAAAAACTGTCGTGACAATACGTGAACTTAGAGGTGAGTTATTTAACTTCATATCTCTCCTACCTCACTGTAGGGCATTTTACATTGTTTTACTCTTAGGTTGGGTCTAATGTCATAATGACGTGTCATAATAAAACTGCGTTTTAACATTTATGAAAAATACGTAACTATTGTTATTGCTCATTCCATCAATTTCCAGTCTATTGTTTAAATACAGCGTGAATTTCAATGTCGCTTTCCTCGTCGTCCTGCACCATAAGTCTATTGCAAACTGGGTCTATTCGAGAAATCGCAAGAGATGGCCGGCCTTGTAATGCTCGTTCGAGGTATCGCTGCTATAGTGGAGAAAATTGAAGAGAATCACAAACATCAACAAGATAACGATGCACACAATCTAGCATCAGTAGACATTTGCTGCATTGAATTTCAGTGAAAGACCTGAAGACGTTTGCGTACAAAGTCCTAGCATTCATCAATTGCTGCCTGGAGAAAACATGGAAGTAACATATTTTGTTAAACCTGGTACAAGAAGACTATGATTTCAAAGTGACGAAACCCATCTCCACTTAAGCGAAATTTAAAGCAAAATTTGTGTTTCTGGAGTACGAAGAATTTTTATAAACACATAAGCAGCCATTGCATCCCCTCAAATTGACTAATTGCTGAAACACTTACAGCGAAAATGTTTGGTACGTATTTTTTCGAGAACGCTGTTGGCTTCACCGTAACTGGTAAGCTCTATAGAGAAACATTTGCTGCAAGTTGCTGAACTGGGTCTCAAGCATCATTTGAACGATATAATTTTTTTAAATTAATATAATCAATTTTAAAAACTGTAATCGAACCAGCAACTAAAAATAAATGCCAACCAACAAGAATACCATTATGCTCAAAGGCAAATTAAATTATTAATTAATATTGCAAAATAATTCAAAGCAACTGTTCTATGTCTTTGAATAGAAAGGAATTTCTGCAGTAGAATAATTCCTTCTCTCTCGTGTTCAATGTAATGAGAAACTGCAATATTCATCTGATGTAGGGTCACCTGTCCAACACTGAAACAATCATGTACAATGAAACACTGTGATATTTCTACAACACTATGTTGCCAAATAGTGCAGTATAGGGTGTAAGAACATGGTCAGAAGCACCCACACTTGCCCAATTTGTGATTTTCATACAAAAAAATGAGAATTTTTAACCACCTTTGACGATTTTTTAGTAATTTATAGGAAATAATTTCATATTGTTCAATATTACGTTGCATTCTGTTTATTTCAAAGTTTCTTTGGGTCTATATCTTGATGGAAATCGTTCACTTTTTGTTGAACTTTCTATGAAGGTTATAAACGAAACCCTTGTTGGTTCACAATGAAGCAACGCTATAGTGTATACAATGAAACAGTGTGTGATTCTCGTTTCATTGTAGGCCATGTATAAAATAACAATAATTTTTCTAAATAAAAGTAGCTTAATGTCTTCTTCATTTAGATGGCACGTACTAAAGCTGTAAAAAGTCAAATATGCCACTGGCCTTTCAATTACACAGACATGGATTGAGCGTCAGAAAAGTGGCTAAAGAATGCGGTATTCATTATCCTACGTTATTTCGTTATCCAAAAAGAATGCGAATGTTAGTGACGCTGAATTAAAAAAATCAAAGGTTAACGACAAACTATGATGTAACAGAGTATTTACTGAAGCTCAGCTGAAAGAATGTATTAAATCTGTATTAAAGATTGTGTTCGCAGCGTTGCGTATTAGATAGCTAATATTAACAATATAATATGGCACTACACAATAATTCGATAGTTGCCAAGTATTTGAATAATTTGATATCAAGAAATTTATTCGAATGTTTCATCATATATTTAATGATTTCTAAAACAAATTACCACGAAAACGAATAACATAAATAAAAATATCTAAAATAAGCTCACTACATAAATATCTGCTATAAAATATTTATTTGAAATATCAGTAAGTAAGTACAGGATGGGGCAGATGGAAGGTCGTTTTTGAAATGAGAATAACTCAGCTGGTGTTTAATTGACAAAAAGTGTATTTATGGAAAGTAAAGTTTCGATGTTACCAGTTAACAATAAAAAAGTGAAATTATAGCTTTGTTTGGTATCTTGCACTAACGTACACCAGTGCACACTTTTTCTTAAAAATAGTGTTTGGTAGACTGGTGCAAACAAGTGTAGATAGTGCCGCCGCGTTTGGTAAGCGATTGAGTTTTAAAAGTGCAGACACTTTTCACATCGACTCGCCGGCAAGTGTAGGAAGTGTAGTGTAAGTCGACATAACCTTTAAGACGTATTTAGTGTTTTGAAAGTGTCAAAGTTAGATTTATTTAAACAACAATAAAATATTGTAAGCTAGTAAAAACCAAGGACAGTAGAATCTACTGTCCTTGAGTAAAAACAATAAATAACAGTTTGATTTGTAGAAAACGTTCTATTCAATTAAAATTAAAAACCCAATTGGAAGTTCTCCGGTTAAATATAATGGCTAAAATTGAAAGACAGTTAAATGTAAAAATAATTTATGATGAAGGGGGAAAACTACAGGCAATATTTCCTTTTTTGATTTATTCATCTTGATTCTTTGATCAATAATAAATTATTCAACTTCCTACAGAAATAATAAAGATTACATAACCTATAACTGTCATAATAATCCGTTTTACCAAACACCTAAAATTGTTACACTTATGCACTTTGAAAATGTGTTGAAAACTGAGAGTTGTCAACTGCACTACACTTGCTACACTAGGAGTATTTATAGCAAGTGTACCAAACACAGCTTATGTTTTGAAGATAATGTCAGGCAGATAACGTCAATTATTTTTATCACTTTGTCACACAGGTCGATGTCAATTTCCATAACTTGTGCTAGCTTCTTTCAACTCTTACAGATTTCTAGATTTAACGACGTAGACCTTCGCCTTTAGGTACCACATAAAAAATAATCAGGAACTGTGAGATCAGGGGAACGAGAGGATCATGGCACATCACCGAATCGGGAGATTACTTCTCCAGGGAAAACGCGACGCACAATTTCCATTGAAGTTCTGGCTGTATGTGTTGTGGCACCATCTTATTGGAACCAAACATTTCTTTGTTGCAGTTACAGTAGCCCCTTCTGCATCTTCGAAAAAATAAGGTCTAATCAATTCAAGACGGCTTACAGCACACCAAACGGCGAGTTTATCAATGTGAATGGGTTTTTTGCTGCCTAATATCGGAAATTCTGTTTGTTAATAGAACGGTTCAAATGAAAATGAGCCTCATCGGTCATCATTATAACTGGTTCATCAGCAAAAATCATTTCCATTTTTCGTCGAACTGCTGGCATTGTGTAAACTATCCTTCTTTCAGTTGCTGGATAACCATAAGCTTATAGGGGTGAAAGCGAAGATCTTGGTGTAAAATTCAGCGAAGTGTTCTCATTAGAGTGCTGCAGCCCGTTGTAGAACAGAGCCCTGTGCCTTTCTACGGACCGAGGTGTCCTTACATTTCGAGGACGACCATGTGGCTTTTGAGTCATTGCTGATACCGTCGTTCTAAAATTCCGTATCCATCTGTTGATTGTGTCACGTCGGAAATGAACCGTTACGAGTAATATTAAAGAAATTGAATAAACTTTTCTTCAATTAAAAACAGCTGAGTTATTCTTATTTCAAAAACGCCCTTCCATTCTGCCCCATCCTGTATATACACGTATTGTATATCATTTTAAACATAGTATTTATGTCTAGAATAATATTAAAAACAAATTTGTTTGAGTGAATGAATTTATCGAATAAATCACTGTCTGATAAAATGGCAGATGTGGAATGGTGTAGATCTTTTAGGTTCAGACATCTTGATTTATCACTAAAAAAGCCTGAAGTGTGCAGTTTAGCGTATGCCACTGCTTTCAAAAAAGAAACCGTCAATACATTTTTTAACAATTTGTGTCATTTCTTTACAATATGTGTCTTCACAAAGTATCTGATTTATTATAAATATCCTTTATTTAAGGGTAAATTTACGAGTGTTTTCATTAATCTTTAATTTACGGGTGATAATTACATACTAACTAAGTCATAGTTGGTCCTAACTACGGTTAAAAAAATGTGGTACTTTAATATTCAACAGTTAAATGATTAAATAACTAAGTATTCCATATTATGTAACATTATATTGATTAATATTTAATACATTATTTTTTAGGGAAAAGATACAGAAACTAAACGCATCACATAAAAAAAAGATAAAAGTTTTTCTTTGATGTATGATTTCTCGAGTGCCCTTTTCTAAAATATACATCCAAAGTTGCAGATCTAATGGATAAAGTTTCGAGTTGCGTCAACTCAACCCCAAAAGTTAATTTATAACATACGGAAATAAAAAAAAAAATCTACCGGAATACACCTGAACTTCTTGTCACGAGTGTAATGAAAACATATACACGTTCTTCATTTAATCAATATTTACGGACGCAGAACGCACCTCTATAGGTACCATTTAGGTACGTTTGACTTTAACACCCCCTTCATCACTTTTATTGCTATTGATTTTCCTGGAGCCATCGCGTGTAGGGCGCGTTTTGGAAGCTCAAAAATTTCCACTTTCATCCTTTGTGAAGGTCAAATCAAATTTTAAGTAAAACATTTAACCGTCATTTTTAATTTGAAAATTTTAAAATAAATGTATAAATCTTTGGGGTTTCCTTTTAACCGTCGCTTGATGTGTCCGGTTAATAATGAAAAAGCGGTCCTTTTTGTGTAATGGAAAATTCTGATTGGTGAAACTCCCTTTCGAGAGGGACCTTTTATTACATTTTCCAATTTGAAAGTAACAAAAACGTCAATATCGCACAACTTTGAAGGTTTAAGTTGAATGCCATTTATTGTTAATGTTTAACTTTAAAACAATTTGAGACATGATTTTTAATGTAATATTTAAAATTTTTGCTTTTTTGTAAATAACAATGTGGACGAACTTTATAAAACTACACAAATCTTAGAGTATTTAAAAATAGATAATTTTGTAATGAGTACAATTCCTTTATTAGACGAACACAAACATAATTCCGGTCTGGTTGTCTAAAAATATTCTTCCCCACTTTCGAAACGGGCGCCGCGACGCCTGCTGAAAAAGCATCCAATGTAAGCGCCTGCGCCGTCGTCAGCATCGATCAGCACCGAACCGCCTCACATTGACTACCCATCGTGAAAATGTCAATTTGTTGTCACGGTTATCGCCGGAAACAAACAGAAAATGCCAGATAGTACCAAACGGAAGTATCCGGTAAGTTTCCCGTTATCTTTTTATCGTATCAACAAGTTCTGACAGTTTTTTACATTTTCGTAAAATCCGGTAAGAATATTCCAACTGAAACCGCCCATTTTTCCTTGTTTACTGCATGTATATCTCTCGCTATAAAAATTACTTTGTATTGTTAGTAAAAGTATATTTAGTACGTAGTAATCGTTATTATATTGAGATTAAAATGAATGTTAATTTAAAATATTGCAAATAATAGACGTTAGTACTAAGCCAAATTTTGTAATTACTTAATTTAGCTAACACAGTGACAATCTTGACCAACCCAATTACTTTTTTGTATGATATACCATTTCTAAAAATAAGCAGAAATAATAATTTGTTTATTCCTTATATTTTCAACAAGCTATTTATCTCATTAATTTTACACGTGATTTTTTAAGATAATATGTTATGGGTTAAATAATATTCATTATGAAATTAATTAAATTTATATCAAATTTAGTGTATCACTTTTTTCTTGGCAATTGGCAAGTATTTTTCTTTTAATTTATGATTAATTTATGTTTTGAATTTAGACTTTTTGCACGATTAAGTTCAAACATTTTTCCTATGTTTTTGTATAATGATGGAGATATAAAACTTATTGGGATAGTGTAGAATTGAATACCAAACAGTATAAGCCATTTTTTAAAGCCTCGATTAGTTGAGAAGATATCACATTTTCAAGTTCATCGTAATAAATTGTCATATTGGATTAACAATGTTTTAGGGTTGGGTTTGGTAATTTTTTTTCTGTCATTTTTTAAGAAATTAAGAAATCAAATTTAGTGGGTTCATTTAGAATTGAATAACGAATTTAATGGTGCAATTTATTTTTCAATATCTCCATTAATTGATAAAGTATCTTTTGTTAAAGTTTACCTTAACAAATGTTCCTGTGAATTATAGTCCACAGTATAAATATTCCAAGCGATCATAAAAAAACATTTCATATTTTGATCGTGCATGAATACACTCAAAATCTTTTCTCAAAAACATATTTTGTTTAGTATAAAAAACATGATGTAAAGATATATTTGTTGGTATGGCAAAAAATCTACAAGGTGGTCCATTTAACGTGAGATAAGCGATTATCATTATTAGACATCGCTTGTCTCACGTTAAATGGACCACCCTGTATACAATAGTAAACCCCCAAAAAGCTAAGTGCAGAAATTAATATGTTAATCGTAAACAATGAAGCAGCAGTACATTAGAAATTAATTTAACTGTACTAAAAACCCAGCTTTCAACAACCAAATTTGCTGTGCTGTACGGAATCAAACCTTAAGTTGTTACTGGAAGTACGGCATTTGGCTCAGAATGCTCTTGATATTTAATTTATCAATTCCAATATCTTTGAACCACGTATACCTATTTTTGAATTATTGCATCTTACAGCAGTTTCCTTCCTTTCTATCGTAAATTATATTTTCCTTACAACAGACTTTAAATAATTGCCAACAAACTTCACCACATTCATCAAGTGTGCATCGTCAAGTTCGCCAATTACAAAATAACTGACTTGGAAAAATCCAAGGATGAGGCCCAACGACTGAGTTTACATCATTTTTGCCTTCTATTCTGTTTGCGCGATTCTCAAATACGCAGTATCACCAATGATAGGTTAAAGTCGTTTATAATAAAGCATTTATGAGTTCGTTTACACTGCGCAGATCTTATTGCACTTTCCAAAGATTTTGAACTCTCTGGATTGTTTATCATAATACTTACTGGCTACTCTTCAATTTTTCAAGAAGGTCATGAAATATAGAGATCAGGGTCAAAACTTTCTGCGATGATAGGCTTTCTTCCAAAAGACGGTTGCATATTCTACCAGCAGCAATCTATAATCGTCCTACATGATGGCATACAAGATGGAAATCATCGCGATGAGTGTTTGTTGTGTATGGGTGATACAACTTGGGATCGCATAAAAGAAATATACAGGGCAAGCCTAGAATTCCTGAAGAACTAAAGGATGAAAAACAAATATCAACTAAGAAACAGTATAAACAACAACGTGAAGGATAATAACAGAAAGCCCATGCTGCGTATGGGAATTAGCAAAAATATATACAAAACATGAAAGAATCACAAGGAGACATTATAAAGAGGATGCCAGAAAATACAAAGAAAAGAATATACCCAATAACATTGAAAACAGCTAAGCAGATAGGTAGTGGCGAGCTACTACTGTTGAAAAAAAAGGTGTTACACAAACTAACAACGGTTAATACGCAGCGACGGCATGTTTACAACAAATACTCAACTCATACTTAGATAGTTAATTCAAAGTAAGATCAGTGAAGCACAAAACAGATCTCATGCTATGACATGTTAGCAGTATGAAAGAAAGACCATTACCAAAGAGAAATTTCAACACTACACCATCAAATTGACACTAATCAAACTCAAAATGGCATTAAACAAAACCAATTTGGTATACTATCAAATTGGTATACCAAATTGGCATTAATAAAAATCGAAATAACATAAATCAATTACACATTGTCACTCTTAATAAACATCAAGAAAAAGGAAGCAGCAAACTCAAAACGCCAAATTTGTGCCGTTTACAATACGAATGGTGCAATTTAGCTGAAATGCTTGGTGTTGCAAAAAGAACAGCGTTCGGATGGGTAAAAAATCAAGAAGAAGAAAAACCACGAGGAGCGATACGTAAAATAAAAATTACAGATGAATATTACCATTTTTTTGTACTTAAAGTTGAAGAAAATCTTAAAATCACACTAAAGCAGTTGCAAGAAACATTACGAAATGAGTTTCAGCTTAATGTAAGCAAGGAGTGTATTCGACAACACTTTGATGGCTTCATGTTTACATTAAAATTTAATTAATAAATACAGTGAAAGTCCCCTAACCCGTATCATTTGAAGGCTAGTCAAACGGTTGAATGTTCGGTGGCTTTAGTCATTGATAAATAATTCTCCTTGCCATTGTTGTGTTGAAGAAGTGTTTGAAGAACAAGAATTTCTTCATCACTAACTTGTACGGCTAAGTCCTTACAGTCCAATGCTAAACCCAATTGAACACGATTTGTCAATTTTGATAGCAAGTACAATTACAAATGAGCCAGATGTCGTAACGATAGTCAAGGTCAGCCCATACACGCTACAATGTGTGTCTGTCCATACTGTTAACAGCATCATTAATACGTCTTCTGAGTTCTCCCAGTGTTGTAGGTATTACTTCATGCATGTTAGTACAAAACTCAGTTCGCTTGGCATAGTCATTTGGTCTAACCGCATCTACTGTTGCATCAGGTATTCGTGGTCTGCCGGTGCTTTTTCGTTTCTCAATTACACCTGTGGTCTTGAATTGTCGATACCATCGTAGAATCCTCTGATGATCTGGAGGATCAATTTGGTATTCTCTTCGGAATGCACGTTGCACTGTAAGGGTCGATCCACACTGTGATGCCGTTCACGGTTCATTCTCGCTCCGATCTCGGTCCGATCAAATCTCACTGTGTCCACACTACTAGTGTGACAATCAGTCTGTCTCGATCCACGGTCGACATAGGACGTTGATAAAACTTGCCAAAAAATGGCATTTAATTTTTCAGTTGAAGAATTAGCAATAATAGCCATTGTTTTGGATGAACAGGATACAATTAAAAAAAAAATACAACGTAAAATGAAGAAAAGAAGAATGTGGATACATCCCAGTTTATTAACGAGAAAAGAAGAAGGCGAATGTCATACTTTATATCGTCATTTGATAGACGACGAAGAAAAATTTTCACAATATTGTCGAATGGAATCCAGAACATTCGAAATGATTTTGAAAAAAATCGACAAAGATCGATGAAAGACTGAGGTTGTAACAAAAGTGTATTCACACTGACAGTACAAGTCATGACAGTTCCGATCTCGTTTCAGTCAAATATTCTTTTTGACGAACCGGAACCGGCACGACATCGGATCGGAACTAGAATGACACGATAGTGAGAATATCAATATTAATATTGTATTTAAGAATATTTGACAGGACCGAGAACGAACCGAGATCGGAACGAGATTGAACCGTGAACGGCATCGCAGTGTGGATCGACCCTAACAGTCACTATACAAAACCACACAAAACGCTTTCTGTTGCATAGTCACCATTTTGACAACTGTGGACATTTACTATTCCATCTGTCATAGTTTCCGAATTATGACCTTGTCAAACCCGATGATTTTATGCTAACCCTGTATACATATAACAGGTTTATAGCCGGAATTCAAAAGCGCATCACCTCTATTTTAAACAAGGAGGATATCACCTCTTGAATTAACAATATTGTTTATTACCAAGTATAAAATTATGTATTGTTTAAAAATTGTTTTGTTAAATTATTGAATGCCAATGTGATGTTGATTAATGTCATTTTGATTTTGATTAATGCCAATTTGATTATGGCAGTTCCCAAATTGGTTTTCCATTTTGAATTTGATCAGTGCCAATTTGGACTTGAAAAGTTATAGAATGCAGGGATGCTTTGAAAATGACTTGGATAATAATTCACACGAGCTGCTGAAGCTGAGAATATGGAAAAGCGCAGCAACAACAGATAGGAATGAAGTCAGAAAATAAAAGAAGCAATGCTCCAATTTGGACTCTAGTGTCATAGGAAATAAGGATAATATATTTCTGTAATGACATTCTTGTATCTGCTTTCAAGGTCTTTCAGCATTCTGCTTCGAACATTTTCTTTAAACAGATATAGTGAATTATCTGATCGTGTTCACTTTTTCTGGTACCATAAGTTTTATCAAATTTCCAATCTCTACTGTATCATAGCTTGATTATCTTTGATTGGATGTATTCACTTTGGCCAACAACGATTTAAATTATGTTTGAGAGGTCTGAAATGGAGACAGAGTATCTACTAAAAAGATAAATTTTTTCCTTTAATTATTATTTTAATTATTTATGTTGTATAATTACAAAATTGATTTTGTCTCCACACTACGACTTTTTGTAGCAAATTCTTAGAGATACAAGAACGTAATTACGGTATCTTTTGTTCTTTTTTTATGAATAAGAAAGTTTAAAGCACCTGGGATCTATATCCAACGAACTAATTAATATTTAACATTAATCCATTTTACCAATTTCTCTTGAGCACCGACAGTAATGAGTTTGGCCATTACGTTTTAATTATGCAGTTTTGAACGAACTCGACTGCGTGCACCTGAACAACAGGTATAATATTATAAAAAGGAAAACGGTGGCCGTTGTTGTTTCGTATGATGCGCTTGAAACGTTAATAAAACCAAACTGCAGCACCACTTAACTGTGGCAATTTCTTTGAATTGCCCAAGAGGAAATGCGATACCAGAGCCTGAACTTATTTGATCCGGTTTTATTCGCGCGTACCGCTTCTTCGCAATAAAGCTTATCCGTGATCGCAAAACACAGGTTATATCGTATTATTTAAACGGTTGAAATGGGATATATCACTACGGGAAAATAGGAAAAAAGGACGAACTAAATCGAAAGGGACAAGTGTACTTTTGAAACTTTTAAATTGAAAGCGATTTAAGGGATTACATCTTTTAAAGAAGCTATCGAAGTTTTCATATTACTATGCAAACGAAATAATCTATCGAGGATATAATTTAATATAAATTTTTGCTTAAAAGCTTTTTAAGGGATACTACATTTTAAAAGATATTATTTTTGTTTTATAGCGTTCAAAATGGCACAAAATCTCAAGGTGTAGCAGTGTTTCTTGACAGAAATGATACAAAACCCTGACAACATATCCAACAGATAGAATTAGTCGGGAGATCGTGGATTGGGTCGATAAGTAGTGAAAATGGGCAGCGCCTCGTCCAAATTTAAAAAATATATCCAACACGGGGACGAGTTCGCAGCCATGCAAATTTATCAGAACTCACCAGAGCTGAGGAAAAACCTCGATCCAAACCTTAGCTATGGGGAGAATCATAACCATAACACTGCTCTACATTTTGCTGCCAAACATGGTAAAACTTTAATAAAATTTACAAAGCAACTTTCTAATTATTAATTTTTAGGTATGAAACATTTGCTTCGCACGTTCCTAAACGACTTGGGTGGTAACCCGAATAAAAAGAATGGTTCAAACGAGACTGTGCTGCATTGCGCCTGCCAACTCAACCAAACCAAAAGCTTTAGCGCCCAAGAACGACGTGCTGCTTGTGTCCAACTTCTTTTGTATTGGAAAGGCGTTCCTTTAGCTACCGGGGGTCGTGAAAAAGTTGATTTGCACGCACAAGACAAAGAAGGAAACACTGCCTTACACTGGGCTGCCAACACTGGACTAAAACGTTGCGTTGAGCTTTTATTAGCACATGGAGCACCACTTTTCATTGAAAATAATGACAAATTAACTCCCTGCGATATGGCAATGGTCACTCATCACGATATTGCTCGTCTTCTTGAAAGTAGAATGGTTTTCGTAAGTTTGATTAAAGAAAAGTATCAATATGATGAAGTATTAATTTTTATAGGCTGACAATACCGATATGGTGAATGAAGATGAGTTGATGACGGAACAAGAAGAAGTATATAGTGGGTTAAGAAGCCAAGATCTTCAGGAAGCTAAAGATCAATTATTGGTTGATACTTCTGATATGCTAAAGATTCCTCTTTTTACAGCTGAAGCTCTTTTAAGAAATAATGGTAATTTTATTTATTAATTTTTTTAAGATCATTTCTTAATAATATTTTAGAGTGGTCAAGAGAAGTTTTATTAGAAAAATGGATGCGAGATCCAATCGAATGTTGCCAATTAGCTGGGGTACAAGCTCCAGCCTCCGTTTTACATCATAATGGATCTTTAGATTCGTCTAGTTCACCAGATGCTTGTGATGAGTTTTCTTCGAGACCAGAAATAATGGTAAAACTTTTATTAGTTTCTATTTCAATATTATTAAGTTTTTTTTAGTGTGAAATATGTTATTTACAAATTAATGAATGGGAGCAACCCATAATGATGTCCTGTAAACACGTTTTTTGTAAAACCTGCTGGGAAAGTTATTTAACAACAAAAATTCAAGACGGTGATGCCCATCACATTCTTTGCCCGGCTTATCAATGTCACATTTTAGTTCCGGTTGAACTAATTGAAAAATTAGTGAGTCCTGAAATGGCACGGAGATATCTCCAGTTCGATATAAAGGTTGTTTTATTGCTTTGTAATGTATAAAATCGAGAACGAAAACCTTCTTTTTCAGGCATTCGTCGAAAGCAACAAATCGATAAAATGGTGTCCGATACCCGGCTGTGGAAGGGCTGTTCGATTACCAGAAGCTGAGCAAACGGGGGCTGTTGTTAACAAGACAGCCCCAGTAACTTCACACGCAGTGGATTGCGGAAACGCCCACTTTTTTTGCTGGGAATGCCTCGGTAACTTTACTTCCCTTTTCTGTTTTAAGCGAAAAACTTTTAATTATTATCCCGCTGGTCCATTAAAACTTTTCAAACGATCTTTCTTATTTTTTTTGTCGAAAAGTGTAATGGAACACTTTAAAAGCTAATAAATTAAATGGATAATTTTCTTTCAACTTAGACAACTATTTGCTATCCTTCTTGATTCGTAGGCGAAGCACATGCTCCGTGCGGTTGTCAACAATGGCAAGAATGGCAATTAAAAATTGCCGAAGTTAAACCAGAAGAACTAAAAGCAGCTTGTAGTGGGAGTGAAGATGCTGCTAATTTTCTTTGGTTGGTTACGAATTCCAAACCTTGTCCACATTGCAAAAGTCCAATCCAAAAGAACGAAGGATGCAACCATATGAAATGCTCTAAAGTATTATATTTTTTTATTTATTTTTTAGGATTTTTATTATTAGTATTATTGTGCAGTGCAAATTTGATTTTTGCTGGGTTTGCCAAGAATCCTGGAAAAGACATAGTTCAGCAACTGGTGGGTACTTCAGATGTAATAGATTTGAAGCGGTTAGTAAAGCAGACGAGAAACAAGGATCTTTAATATCTGAAGCACTCGACAAAAATAATCAGCTTCAAGAATCATCAAGGTTTTTACACTTTTTCACAAGATACAAGAATCATGAAAACAGTCAAAAATTAGAAGAACCATTATTAAACGGAGTTAGGCAAAAAATGCAAATTTTAGCAAATAGTTTGGGGTTGAAAGGAACAGATGGTAAGCTTTTTAATCATAAAGACAAGATTTTGCTTCATAAAATTTAACGTTATAGCCGAATCAAGTGAAAAAGGAACCAAATTTATTGAAGATGGGGTTCGAGAATTATTAAAAGCTCGACGTGTTCTTTGTGGATCTTACGTTTACGGTTATTATCTAGAAGATGATGGCTACAACAAAGCGATCTTTGAATTTATGCAGGTAACACATTTTTTGCAGTAAAACCAAATATTTAACACGCATTTTAGAATGAGTTAGAAGAGGTGACAGAAAAATTGAGCGAGATGATTGCAAGGCCGTATTTACGTACTCCAAAAACTGTAATCGTTCAAACAACGACATTGGCTCGGCGAAAAAGGCACGAATTTGTTAGAGCTGTTGCCCAAGGATTGATTCCACCAGAAACCCCACCATCCCAAAGAAAAGCAAAAAAGAGAAGATACTTAGATGTGAGATTACTATATTTAGCAGATTCAAAGAAATAATTAATTATATTTGTAGACCGATTTATCACAACCTTCAAATTGGTTACGAGCTTGTCAATGGCCTGAATACGATTCCGATTTAGAGGAAGGAGTAGAAGTTCCTCCAATGTTACCGTTACTTCATCAAGAACAATCAAGTTCTTCTCCGAGAGATCATCAATGCAGCCATTCGTACAAAAATTTAGGATGTACACAAAGTAATTATTTTTTTTTCGAATATTTGAAATTATTATTTATTTTATAATTTTTTGTTCTAATCAGCAATTGGTTTAGGTGCTGATTATAACATGGAACTTGTGATAGCACTCGAAATGTCGCGATTGCAAATGATAGAAGATAGCATTAAACAAGCACAACAAGTTCGTCCAGCCATCACTCCGGATCCAGGGTCCAACGTTTCGAACACAAGCAACGAAAGCTCAACCGACGACCAACTAAAGTTGGCAATTCAATTAAGTCTGCAAGAATCAACAGCTGCTATCGCCAGGCAGTATGACCAAGAAATGGCAAATTGTAGCAAGGGATACGAAAAAACTAGTGCAGATTTAACGGTTGATTATTTCTTAAAATCGTTGGCAAATAAGAAAATAGACTTGAGAAATTTAGAGGTAGATGTAAATATGTTAGATTGGCATAAAAGTGAAAAAGAGTGTTTCTTTAAACCATGTAATGGCAACGAGGATGGCAGATTTCAAATATCAGATATTCACGAAAAAGGTTTCGCTTTTGGAGATTCCGATGAATACGACGATCATGATGTGAGGCTAAAAAGGTCGCATTCAACTGGAGATCTTTGTATCAGAAAATCTAGCCGAGGTACAAGAATTAGACCAAGTGGTGACGAGCCGCGATATCATTTAGATTCAGATCATAGCAGCCAACATGATGATAAACCCGAGGATTTGACTCGAAGAATTCTAACCTTACCATCCAGTAATGTACGCACAAAACAATTTGTCCTTTTACATCAGACTTACCCTGAAGAGGAATCTTATCAAGGGCAAAGCTCGGTAGAAGATACAACCACCTCCGATTCGATTAATGTAGACATGGAGGTGTGTGGAATTTTAGAATCGATCACTGATGATGATATAGGAAGTAAAGCTTTAAACGACGACGAAGGGAAATGGTATGTTAACGTAATGAAAGAGAAACCAGCACAAAAACTTGATAACATATCAAAACCCGAAGATGGGAAAAAACCAAACGCTTTTGCATCGTTGAAGGCGAAAATTTGTTCCGCACATTTACCAAAGACTGGTTATCTAACCAGAATAGCTGTTAATAAAAGCATCGGATTGCTAAGCGAGAAGAAAAAAGATGAATTGGAAGATAAAAACTTAGACGTGCCAAGAAGGAATTCCGATCACCAACCAAGAACGTCAGATTCACTACCTCAAAAAGCTCATCACTCTTGTATCGGTCACCGAGCATCATTCTCAAAATCAACAGGTTTTTTACTAGATAAACAACACCTACCTTGCAAATCCGGCAATAATTTACGAATAAAAATCTGCAAAAGCCCTGAACCCAAACACAAATCCTACCCGTTAGAAACAGACAGTTCCAATGAGTACGAATCAGAAACCGGAATTCCAAAATCACCGACCCTATTCATTTCCGGAGTTTCAATATCGCGAACACCCGAACCTAAATCACCAGGAATTTGCCTGATCGCCACCAGTAGTGGAAGACAATCCAGATCTTCTAGTCTAAGTATCCCAGTTCCATTATCCACTTGCTCATTGAGCATATCATCCACAAGTTTAAATACTAACAACAACAATAACAACCTTCCCCCAGAACCTTTTACACCATCTCTAATCCACTCCACGACTCCAGCAACATCCCGAAACAACATCCACCACGTGACTCCAACTACCAGTCCATCAAAATCCTCCAACAAAGAAAATACAAAATCAAAAAGTGCTAGCGAACCCGAACGAGAACGCGAGATGTTTAGGTTTCCAAAATCGTCCACGGACGGTGCCTTAAGCTCGGTTCTACACGTTCAAGAATCTAATTTAAGCTCGGACGATTTCCACGAAGCTTTATTTTTATTGGAAAGATCACCCAAGACTAGAGATTCGAAACGGCGTAAGAAATCGAAGAAGAAAGATGAAAGAAAGGAGGAAGCCAGTTCGGCTTTGTAACTAAAGACTGTACTTAGATATGCGCTCAGGCGCGTTTTTGTGATACAACTTTTCGTATAATTAGTGTATTTCGAAGACAATTAACAAATATTTTGTGTGTTGTGTATTACGTATTGAAACAAATTAAGCAAAAAATGAAAATCTTGTAATTGAACTCACAAATATGTTTAACTACGTTATATTATTCATATTTAAGTTTGTTGGGTCTAATAGTAATAAAGAAATGTAATTAAGAAATTACAAAAACTATTGGAAATTGTTAATACATTTTCTTTTATATGGTATTAAATCGAGAAAGTAACTAAACAGTAAACAAATCGCTTAAGGATCTTGATTAACTCTTACTCCAAGTATGTAACGTTGCACAAATTTTACGATGAATGTCAAAGGAATGTCTTATAACTTAGATATTACATGTTAAGCGATGTATCAATGAAAAATCAAGTATAATGAGTGTATGTGTAAAACTTAAACATGGAAATAAAAATATATTAGAGGTATTCAGGCCTAACTCAATATTAATTATTACGAATAGACGATTCATTTCGACTGGGTTTACATATACAAGAAAAAATTTATTACTTTTTTATATATATTTTTAAGTAGTTGTAGATTTATACCTAAATAGAACTGAAAACAATTTGTTTATTCTACACACCGAAGGAAAAGAAATGTTAAAATATTTAACTTATGGCCAAAATTTAAATTATCAAATAAAAATTAATGGGAGAAGGAGTAAGAGATGGAAGAAGGGTATTTATTAAAATATAAACTCGTAAGACACTTTAATCTTTAATTTTTGCAATAAATTTCATCCGTTTTAATTCCACTTGATAAAAAATATGTGACGAGTTTAATTTTAAAGAATACTTTATTTCTGGTATCGTTTCAATAAAAATCGTAATTACTCGGAATGAAAGTGCACATTTACGCAGAAAAACTCTTGTCGTGCCATTTTGTTGTATGTCCTTTAGTCATGTAACAACAAAAAAAAATGTAAACTGATTGTGATTTTTTTAGTAAATAAATTATTTAATAATGTTTTATTTTGAATTACAATACTCCAAAAATACCAGTAATATAGAAACATTTATGATAATTATGCTTCATTAATGAGTTCATTTTTGTTTTTATTAAGCAATCTGTGATTCGATAATTCTGAAAGTCGTGAGGAACGCAAAAACATAAATAAATTACCTCCAATACGAGACATACACGATGAATTTGTTAGAATTTGCAAAAGTACTTACAGTTCTTTTCATTAAGTAACAGTAGATGAAATATTGGTAAATTTTCAAGGACATGAGTTTTTGAACAATTCATACCATATAAATATGGCATCAAAATGTTTGCTTTAGTAAATGCTAAGTACTACTTTACATTTAATTTGGAGATGTAAGCAGGTAATGTTAGCCGTACCTTTACGATGTTTTGAAGTTCTAAACTCCGAAAATGCTTCAATAACTGGTCCAGTTTTGAGAACAAAAGCTGAAGAATTATCCATGAGATTACAGGGTAACGTTTTAAAATTTGTCATAATATAAAGACCCTGAAGATTTCTGGTGTGGTGATTGCAGCTCTGTGCATATTTTCAATGGTAACGAGACTGGGCTATTTTATAAGATGACTCCAGATCGTACCTCCGAAGTTGAGGTTTGGATTAGGGCAAATATAATGAAAAATGCAAACTTCTTGTTATTGGTAAATATAAACGACCAAGATGCATGAAAAATGTAAAAAACCTGCCTGGCATTTATAACTCAAACAAGCGAGTATGATGACTTCAGCAATTTTTGCAAATTATCTATAGGATTGGCATGGAAAATTAAGACGCCAGAATAGAAAAATATTGCTTCTGGTTGACAATTGCGCAGCTCATCCAAAAAATCTTATTCCTACAAATATCAGGTTAGAGTTTTTGGCAACAAATTGCACCTCGGTCGTACAACCAATGGATCAAGGTGAAATTAAGTGCCTTAAGACATATGTGTAGACTGATCAAATCATTAGATAATAACGAACCTTTTAACATAATTATTCTAGACTCAATAAAATTAGTTGGGTAATGTTGGAATGAAGTTATTACAATAGCCAAGAAATTGGTTGCAGAATACCAATACTACTTGCAGAAGACTAAATACTTCCTATAGAGGACAAATACTACCTAAACAATACTAGAAACTGCTTAAAAAGATAGATATCGTCTATAGAAACCTAAGTACTGCTACCAATAGACTACAAATTGGTTGCAGAATACCAATACTACTTGTAGAAGACTAAATACTACCTATACAACCTATACAATACTAGAAACTGTTTGCAGAAGATAGATATTGTTTATGGAAGGCTAGATACTGCTACCAATAGCCAAGGAATTGGTTCCAGAATACTAATACTGCTTGCAGAAGACTAAATACTTCCTATAGACGATCAAAAATTCCTTGCGGAAGACAAATACTACCTATACAATACTAGAAACTGCTTAAAAAGATAGATATTGTTTATACAAGGCTAGGTACTGCTATCAATAGACTACAAATTGGTTCCAGAATACTAATACTGCTTGTAGAAAATCAAATATTGCTGGCAGAAAGCTAAATACTGCCAGACAATTTTACAAGCTCATTTATGGCGGTGGTTTTTCAGTTTCTGTTGATATAATTTTTTGATTTTGAGTCCCATAAACATGGGTACATTCTATATAGGTTTATAAATTTTTTCCAAAAATCTTTTTCGGCGAACGATGCCATTTCGATGGACGTTGGAAATAAACTAAAGCGATACTTTCGCTGCATGCGACGTTGCAAGAGTCCTCGTGTATGGGTCGCTTAAGTCTGATAAAATCAGCCGACAAGTTTGATTCGGACAAAGATTCTTGACTACGATGACTGTAAGGTTCCCCTTAATGATTGATTGCGCAATAGCTCTCAAGATCTAACCAAAGTCGAAGTGAATCTTACTGAATTAGATAGCTTTCCGACAATCGATGATAATATAGTAACAACGGAATCATTAACTAATGATAATGTTATTACTAAAGTTGTACAGCCATATGAGATATTAAGTGATCCTCAAATGTCTGGAAACAAAAACGACGATAAAGTTCAACAGGGCTACCAAGTTATTTTGAGACACATCATGCTATTAAAACTGTTGTAATTTTTTGCAATGTACTGATAATGTAAATGATGACATCATTCAAGCGTCCTTAAAGGTTGAGAAGCACATCGAGAATATAAAATTTTAAAAAATCAGAAAATCAAGTCTCTTAAGACGGCTACACCTGAAACTGTTTGAGAAAGAAAAAGGATGTTTGGTCAGGTTAGTTTTCTTTTGAAACTCAATTATCCCGGGAAAGAATCTCATTTATACCGTAAAGAAGTATTAAGTAGGGTTAGTTTTCTTTTGTAATCTCAACTATACCGTGAAGGAATGTTAAGTAAGGTCAGTTTTGTTTACCAGAGTGAATTACTATCAGTTAAAAATATTGGGCAATATAATGGATATTCTGTTCTGCCAGCTCTGAGTAATGTTAATAAATAATAGAGATGAGTCAGCAGAATATCAGAAATCAATGGGTGTTGGTGAAGAAGATTCAGAAGTTGTGTGGTGGGGTAGCAGAGGAGGAACAGATATAATAATATTTATCTAATTGTAAGATTTTATTACAAAAGGATTATCAGCATATCTATCAGAAAATAAAAGGGTAAAAGAAATGATAGTGATAACAAGATTTAAGGTATGGTGTTGGATGAAGGAAAATATGTGCAAACTATAAAAATTGTGCGTATACTTAAAAAATATGAATAATTGTGCGAATGTCTGATAGATAATGTTGCTGGACGAGAGAAGAAAGAGATAAAAGTGGCTGAAAGAGGTGATGAAGGGTTGAGATCGTCCTCGCCACTTTCTTAACGTGCAAATGTAACAGTAGTGTCTCAAATGGAGCTCACATTGCCAAAGATTATTGCTTGATGTCTTCATGCTGTATTCACTTATCTAAGGCATGTTTTGTAAATAAACATAAAACATATCCAGTATTTTTAAAGCAATTAGTGTAGGTTTCAAATTTAAAGTACGTCTCTTAAGACGTCTCCAGGTTTACTGTTAGTTCTAGTTTTGGTTATATTTTTATTGAACTACAAGTAGAACTAACACTAGCCGTCTTATGATCCGAACATTTCTAGTTCTAGGTCTAGTGTCTAGTATTAGTTCTTCTTTTAGTTGTTATTCAGTGCTAGATTGTTGTACATTTTTATTGAACTAAAAGTAGAACTAACGAATTTGTGTACATTAAAATTATTCTCTGAAACAGTTTAAGGTGCAAATGAAAAATGTTTCATATAACGAACTTTTAGCTACAACGGACACTCCTTTGCCAGTATTAGTTTATTATATCGAGGTTTTACTGTACTATTACCTCATCATCAGTTAAAAGTTTTTAACTATACTCCAAAAGATCAAAAATCTCCTGTTCAAAACAAAGGACGATTATTATTATTACACTAATAAATTTTATTAGAACAACTTTTCGAATAATAACAACAATTTTAAATTTGTATATTATATATTTCCACAACGTACAGTCAGATATATTAAACACATGTTTTTCTTAAAAACAATACATTTAGAAAGGTAAGAGATATATGCAAATTATTGTCGAAAAATTTTCCAGCAACGAAGGCAGTGTTGCTAAAAAATTTTTACCTAATCGATAGGTTACGACGACACCTCTTCTTTTCTAGCTTATAAATAGAGCCATTAATAATAATTCCACCCAATAATTATCTAATGGACAGTTATCAGTGTAAAGAAATGATTGTATTGCAATTTATCGTTTACACTTTTCTTCTATTATTTTAAATGAAACTTATGGTCCCTAGCATTATTTACTTTCTTGTAATAATATTAAATACGATCTCATATAGGAAGAAGATACATAGAGCTAATTAGTTCTCTATGCTAACTCGCCGCGTTTATTGTCTTATCTTCTACACATATGTTTTGGACCAGCCAAATAAAGCGGATATTTATTGTTTTTTTTTTTTGTTGGACCCACACTTTAGTATCTACGACTTAGCTAATTAAGCGTTCTAATATAACATATAAAGAATAAAAACTTTTTGTTCATCGTTAAATTATTTTGGCACGTAATGAGTTATACATTATTTATACAAATATATATGGGACTAGATAAAAATTAAGAGTTTTATAAATGTCGTTTCCAAGAATTAGTCAACCTCGTCGAAGAACGAAAGATGGTAAGTATCCAACGACAAAGCTAGCCCTTGTGTACCAATTCCAGGAAACTTATCGCTTTTTATGGATTTCGAGTGGCAAAAAACGACCTTTAATCTTCATAAAGAGCTAACGGGATATTTCTTTAAGTATCATCGGTACGACCAGCGCTCACCTCAATAAATACTAATAGCGATAACAAACACTTACATTAAACATTTTTTTACTATGTTACTCTATAAATGCAAATCCGATAAATACTATTATGTTAACATTATAATTTTTTTTACTTTATCTACTTAAGATTAAATTGATCTGAATCTTTACACGAACAGCCAATGTTTTGCCTTAAATCTACTTACTATTCTACTCTCCCTTAACTGCTCGTGTTCTTCTTCAGGGGAAATGCAAATTGCCAATCTCTGAATACAAAATATAATGTGTTTAGGATAACTTGAAATAGATGTATAAGTTTACGAACCTCTTTGAATGTACCAGGAGTTCGTATTAATTGTATTACAGCTACCAGTGGTATCATCAATACTGAAGACAACGTTAAACACCAACCGACCCATTCTGCCCAACTCGGGTAAATATAATCAATATATCTGAGTGGTTCGTGGAAAGCTAATCCGAAAACCACAACACCCTAAACATAACAAATTTGTAAATAATTGGATATGCAAATATAAAATGTCGTACAATAATGAATAAAGGACTTATAAATTTCCAACATATCCTCCAAAATGGTCCTGGAGTTGATCCTAACATAGCTTTTATGTCTTGTGTAAATCTATCAAGTCCTAAAAGAAAAATAAATATGTTATGGGAAATTTGCAACGTTAATAATATTTTTATAAAATTTTGATGTTGGAATTAAATGTTTGAATTAAAGTATTATATTAAACTATATTTAGTCATTGTGATTTTGTGACAGACTTTTCCATCGGATTAAGACACAAGAATATTTGCGCGGCTGGAATCAGGGATAATAATACATTTTGATGTGTGTATTATAGGAAATAATGCACATGCAATTCAATTAGGTCTACATTCAAAAGTTTATATAGAGTGGATTCCAGGTACATCGTAGAAATCATAGAATAAAAGGTCATAAGTTTAATAATGAAATTTATACATCGATCCAACTTATGACCTTACGTTCAAAAGTCTCGTATGTCATTGCATAATTCACAATGTGCATGATTAGAAGAAATTTTTAGATTTATCGATGAAATAACTCTGTCACAAAATACTGACTACATTCTTTTAATACTTTTAATATATAGTTATCTTAACCTTCATCAAAATTATTCAAATTGCATATTTTGATTATTTACCATAAAACCAAGATACTGCAATAGATTCGAAAAGAGCCGAACAAAGTAAGGAAATTCCAGCTGAGTATGTATCAAACAGATGAAACATATAAATACCACCCTGTAAAAAAACCCAATTAAATCACAAATATTTTTAAAAGGAAAATCGAAAATTACCGGAGTTATGTTGACCAAAGCGACGCAGAAGGACATGGTTATAACAATTAAAGTAAAAATCTCCCTCGCTCTTTTCCATTTAAAATACTTATTAAATTCATCCATTAATCCTGTTATAACACATTCTAAACCACCCATCTATAACAAGAATATTTATTAATTAAATTGTTATATTAAAAAAGATTTTATTATTTTTTTTGTTCTTACTCCAGAATCCAGTCCGAGCATTATTAACATGAAAAAGAACAGCACCGACCATACATGTGATCCTGGTAAAGTCGCAACTGCTTCAGGATACACTTGAAACACTAGTCCAGGACCTTCAGCTGCTACAGAGCTAATTGGAACTTGTTGTTTATGAGACATATAACCGAGATATGTAAAAATTACGAATCCGGAAAAGAAGCTTGTGAAACTATTAACTGCGGTTGTTACCAAACAGTCTCTAAAAAATTATTAAATATTTAGTGGTTATTATATTATAAGAAGGTGTTTAAATGCTTACTTTAGGCAATTATTATGAAACGTATTATAACTTGCATAAGATAAATGAACACCAAATCCAGCTCCAACGGAATAAAATATCTGAACGGCTGCATCTAACCAGACCTAAAAAAAATATATTAAATTTTTTTCAATGCTTTTATAAGCCTCTTTGGGTTATTAAAGTAGATATTACGTTCACTCACGCAACATCTATAGAAGGGAAAAGTTATTAGGACCATTAAATTAACTTACCTGCGTTTCTTTTAATTTGGAAAGCTCCGGGTTGAGGTAGTAGGAAATACCCTTGAGGGCTCCCGGAAGCATCAGACCCCTTACCAGCAAAATACTAAGCACGACATATGGCATGGTGGCCGTTACCCATACTACTTTTCCAGAAGATTTTACTCCTTTAAAAAGGGAAATGTACAGTGTGCAATAAACAGCTAAAAGACACAGGACAAGTTGCCATTTTGGGTAACCCATGTCTGATAAACCTTCACTGTGTTGAATTTCTAATACACTACGACTAAAAATAACAAAAAAAAATTATAACATTGTTAGATAAGAGAAAAATATGTATTTACGTAAAATATTCGGCCGCCGGTGTATGTCTTTTCATTTCATTTATTCCTAATGAAAGTGAATCGTTTCCGATGGTGTGATTGTAGGGTTTATCCCAGCATAAAACCGAATTCCATGTATTATTGCAATGTATCCAGGGTAATTCCATACTAAAACTAGTTCCTAAGAAATAAAGCGACCAAGCTAAAAAGATATTGTTAAAATTTGTTAAAACATAATCGATTTAAGATTATTACCGATAATCACATTGTAGTAAAAGGATACGTAGAATGCGACCAATACTGCACAGAAACCAACTCCTAAAAAATATTGAATTTATTAAAACAAAAAAAGAATGCATAAAAGATATAATAAAACTTTGTTATAGTTGTAAAAGTTAGATAACTTTCTTGTAATGTTAAAAGTTCTAAACGATTTTCTAAAGATGTATTTCTAAAGACTTCTCTATGTGAAGACCGTGGTGTAGAAAATCGCGACCCTCTTTAGCTACACTTTGAGCAAAAGGTTTGCCGTTTTTTTAATATGAGCAATTTTAATATTATTTAGTAATCTAAGTAGGTATCGGTTCACGATGCCCTAGGGTCATGTGGCCGAATTACGTCTAGAGTTTAAGGGCAACCATTAAGTAATTAATCGCGTTTTAATCATTTTTTTTTAATTTTGTGCCATTTCCCATAAACACTAAATCGACCAAAATGGCAATTGCCATAATAGGCTCTGTGAGGAAAGAATCATTGCTTCAAAAAGCATTACTGAAACGAAAAAAAGGCAAAGGTACAATACAATGCCATAATCATTTACTGATTCGCTCGGGAAAACGCAAAGATCCGGAGTAGATCTGAATGGTACACTTAATATCAGTCTAACCAGACACCGGATGGCCAATTTACGAACAATTACAGTTAATAGAAAAGCTACTGCACCAAGAAAACATTATAATAATGGGCAACCTGAAATAATTAACTAACCGTGTGAGATGTTGGCTGCCACAATAAACTGTGATTCAACAATACCTATTTTAACCACAAATATTAACAAAAAGTCACGTTTCAAGGAAGCAAAGGGACAACATCTACGAAGGATTGCATAATAACAGTCAGAGCAATCAGGCCACAACGGGTATTGGCTTGGTTAGGTCATTAACTACCGTTAACAAAGAATCGGATCACACAACCTAGTGTTAGGAAAAATTACAATGAAAGGACACATCAAGCTGCAGTGGAAGCACTGGGCACAAGGACCATCAATGCTAGACTAGGAAAAAAGAAGACCCACTTAATGCATAAATCCAACAAGACACAAAGATCATCAACTTCATAAACACAAGGAACAAAGAAAACGAGAACACGAGAGATAAAGGAAGAACATTGCGAAGACATGGAACATATAAGCATGAACGTATAAGTACGAAGACTTAACACCTGCCATGAACGGTGTTAATTAAACTAAAGCTAGAACTAACACCAGCACTATCATCTGGAACTAACACCAGATCTAGAACTAGAAACTTTCGGGTTAAGCCATGCGTCTTTTGAAACAGTGTTTAACGTTTCGAATGCCATGTTGCAACCTTCTTCAGAAACAAGTTCAAAGTGAAGTTCAAAGTCACTAGCGCTAATGTTAGTTCTAGTTTTAGTTTAACATGGGACATTATCTATACAAAATCCAAAAACGAATCTGGAAAATGCGCAAAACAACCATAAAGGAAGTAAATGGAATAATGATCCAAAATTATATAACACACGTGGAAGTGGAGTGGCTCCATCGAAGAACAAAGACTAGATTATGATGAGAGCAGATTATTATTATTGCTGCCGGGCTGAGGGGAGCCCCTCTCATCACCGCGACTTATAAGATCTATTGTAATTTTAGCCCTTCAAAGATTTAGGAAAAATCTAGATCCCTGATGAACCTTAGTATTGCTCCAAGGTCTTGTTCCTTTATGTCAGTAGGTGTCAGGTGAACCTTTTCGAAAATTTTGTGTCTTAGGCGACGCATTCACATAGAATATGTTCAGCGGTCTCTGACTTGTCATTTGTTAAAGAGGTGGTATTTTAGGGGCGTCTGGATGGTCAGGAAGCCTGAGAGCGACCTTAAGTTTTCTTTTGCGATGAAGTTATCATACTCTTCGCCTGTCTATACAGACAGAGCAACGCTACCTCTCGATGTAACGAAACCCCTCATGTATTAATTACCTGGTTTAAGTGGCTTTTTTGTAATCCACAGCCGGGTTGAAGTCTTCTCGCTGCCTCTTTGACCAGCTTATTCTTTTCATTGCTCTCAATATCTTTATGACCAGAAACCCACCATAGTAGAGAGAGTAGATACTGAGATAGCTGAGGAAATAGAACAATTCACAACGAAGAAAGAACAAATAAACGACAACTAAGCAGGTACGAACAATATCCCCAAACAAGGTTGCTCAATAAATGGGATGAAATTCTCCATATTTCTCTAATATAATAAAATTTAGATCTAAAAAGAGATTTAGATCTATTCCTGAACCCAACCTACTAACTAATTTTATTCTATTATATTGTATAATATTCTATGTACTGAAGATGAAACATTAGTTTCGAAACATGTCTGCTTGAATAGAATTGAAACATTTTAGTATTTCTCAAAAAGTTTTTACTTGTACATACATCCTATTTTAAGGTTGCTCAAGTCGGAAGGAGAAGGATTTAAGAAAGTAATATCCTCATACCTCATACCAGAGAATTACAGAGGAATTTCCCTTCTAGACACATCCATGAAGTTGTTTTCCCGTGTCCTGCAACGCCGTATTCTGAAGCAATTTCCAAAAAACGAGGAACAACAGAAACGGAAAAGCAGACCAACAATCAATGCCGCCTTCGTTGTTAACCATGTAGAAGACAAAAGACAAATAAAAGAAATACAATAGAAGACAAATACACGTAATTAAGAAACAATTAGACGACGTAACATAAACAATATCAAGACAATTACACTTGGCAGAGAAGAAATATCCTTGAATGTGAATGTGGGATAGAGTGCCCACTGCTTTTCAACATCTTAATGGACGAGATCATAGAACAAGTTAGGATGCATACCTACGAGATGACAATTTTGATAGTTGAAATCACATTATGAGATCATAGAAGAATCAAGGAAATTCGGGTGGAATGCGAAATGGAAGATGTGGTAAGTTGGATTCGCGCAAGTAGGAGTCTCTGAAACAAACACGTTTCAGAAATTGAAAGAAATAGGCTGCCAAGGACTATCATAAATTGCAGACCATCATCCAAAAGGCAGACAGGATGACCTCCAAATCGTATTCTTGAATCCATTTCTATTGTACATAAACTGTTAATAACACATTCATATAACACCTGTTTCAAGTCGAAATAAATTGATTAATTTATCGAGTTTATTCATAACTAAAATCAAATTTTATGTTAAAAATGTAAATTTACTATTTATAAAATCGATAGTCCTCCGTGATCCGTGAAAAGTTCCATTTTGTGTAATTTATAAGATCGTGTAACTTGAGTTGCAGTTAAATCTCAAACGCGAAATTTATACGGCAGTATAATACCTAATAGAGAGGTTGTAAAACGTTGAGATTCAGAGTTTTTATGAACGACTTTAATTCATTTTCACTTTCTTCAAAACACTTAAATTGTAAAAACAGTAATTATAATTGCAGTCCGAATAAAATAGTTATTATTTCCATAATAAAGTGCACGAATTCTAAACAATAGTCTATGATCTGTTGAAGTATAATCAGGTTTTACAATGACTAGGATATTTTTTAACTTAAATAGATAATAATTCTATCGGAATACAATTAAGATAAAAAATTGTTTTGCATTTTGAATTATACAAATATTTTTCTCTGCAATATAAATAAAAAAAACGAGTTGCCTTAAAAATTAAATTCCGAAAATATAATTACAGTTTTCCCAAGCGCGCAATATTCAACTAAAAAACAGAACCACTTTAACATCGTTTTAAATAAACCGAATCGACATACGTTTGAAACAAAAATCAAAAATTTTGTTTAAAAATATAAAGGTTTTACCTTTAAACAACGGACAAATTCTCCAAACGCTAACAGGACCTTGTCTGTTGAATTGCCCGAGGACGAGTTCCATGTAAAAAAGGGGGACGGCTCCAAAAATCAGCATTAAGAAGTATGGTATGAGAAAAGCCCCTATATATTACAAACAAAATAATTTATATTATTTAATAACATAAAGGGAAATGATTAAAGTATATAAAAAAATTTTTGATTAATACCTCCACCATTCCTATAACAGAGGTAAGGGAATCTCCAAACGTTGGCTAAGTCCACGGCAAAACCTATTATGGATAACAAAAAGTCCGCGTTAGATGTCCAAGTTTCTCTGTTATCATCGGGTAGATGTGGTGAGTTTAAATCCACTTCAGCTTGACTCGAACTTGTCGAAAGGGCGAACGTTTCGTAACCCCGTTTTTCATCTTCTTCCAGTTGAACATGAAGATCTATTAACAAAAAATAGGATTAAATGTAAATAGCGTAAAAATCCTTGACATTTTACTGAATATAGTGGGTTGGTAAGAAATCATTAAATTGAATAAACAAGTAGATAAAAATTCAAGAGTAAACGTGTAATTAGTGCGTTTTAATAAGAAGGTTTTGGTGTAAACTGACCTAAACCTATCGCCATCTGCATAAATAACAAGTTAATTAGATAATTATACAGACAGTCATTAAAACCCACACTTTTAACAATTGGTGAGTCAATTTTGTGAATTAAAATTTCTCGCAAACATTTACATTAAGATACTTACTTTTCTTTGGAGTTGTAAGTGCTAAAGTCGACGAACTGTGTTTTCCTGATTTAGCATACCCTATAACAAAAAAAGCTTTATTACAAAAACTATCTTCTTAAATAGCTATAAAGTCAAAACGTGGAAAGTACTAAGATAAGAATAGAGACTAAAAACACATAGTGATATATAAAAGCAAATTTTATCAGTAATAGTGGATATTTTTTTGTTAATTCCCGATTAGTTAGTCAATTGGAAAGCGCACCGTGACGAATGTTATTGTCCGCAAATCCCTTTCAATTTATCGTCGCTCGACTATGCTATTTATCGCCCATCCACCAATGACGAGTCTGGCTCACTGAACAATAATTGAATGCATATTCAAAACAACTTTAACATCCACTCCTATTTAAAATAAGTCTAATTGGACAAATAGAAATTCTCCAACGATTACTTAATTTTTTTTATTCCTAACTGTAAATCTTAATGATTCTGAAGATCAATTAACGTATCTATTAAACCATCCAATTTAAACTAAAAATCAACAATTTAAGTCTTTAATCATCAAGTTAACAGCATCGTTGCCTCTCAAAGAAAAAAAATTTGATTTAAATGCTAGTCAAGTACCCAAGAGTAACTTTAATCAAGTTCACCGATCCTTTTTCGAGGTCTTCATTTACCCGGGCAAACTTTCGACAAAGAGTTTTAACGCGGTGACGGGCGTCTCCATTAAAGGGTCGAAAGTTGTGACGCTCTCCACGCGCAAGGTTTTTATTGCGTACGGCGTCGCAGCCGACAACGACGCGATCTGACGCTATAATGCAATTACATGTAAATGAATATCGGCTTCCTTTCCAGGTATTCCAATATCGGGCACCTGATAGGAATGACGGGCTCCGTCACCAATAAAGACGGACGAGCCGCCCGCGACGCCCCCAAGAATGTCCTCCTTCTGTATGGAACTCGAAGAATTTTACGCGTTTCCACTTTCGACCCTGTGATCGAAACTCACGACATATCCAAGTGGAATCGAATCGAGTCGATTTCAGTTTTACTTTTAAAAAGGATTACATTCAATGCGTTTAAAACGATTTCAGAAGGGCGAATTTTATTTCCGTTTTAAGAGTTCTGCATTATGAATTCCTGAATAAAAATCATATCGATATATTAAAAATCATATTTTCCGTGCAAAACTCATAATTAATCATTATATCAGGGTACCCAATAAAAACACTTCATAAATTTTCCTTTTTGAAGAGTTTAATGGTAATGGTTTGATAGACACTTACAATGAGTTATAAAGCGCAGGTGGAAAATATTCAAGTTCTTGTACTTACAAAGATTGTTTTAGATAATGGTGGTATACAGCGCACTTCGTACCTGTTGCATAAAATATGTACGTCGAATACAGATGAATTAGTGGAAAATCGTAGTCTAAAACATTACATCATGTTATTCATGGATCATGAATAATTTATAACCCCACATAGTTGTAATGATTATAATTGGCCTCTCAATAAAATTCCTAAATTTTTGTTGCATTGAGAGTAAATAAAAATTAATTGGTGTATTACTGAAGTAAGTCGCCGAGATTTCAATGTATTAATGTGCGAATTACAAAACCAATAGGGATCTTGTATTTGCATTGTTACCTGATTGATCGGAAAATAATTTCTTGTTAGAAAATTTAAAGAAAAAAGATTTGTGATTAGAAAAGAAATGAAATGTACTAGGGAGCTACAAGAATGCAAGTTGTAAGTAGCTGGAAGTCGAAATTTTAAGCGATCGCATACAACCTATACCTATACAAATAGGCACAAAACCAGATCTAAGATATGACGCGATAATTCTAGTGCTAAGCTACGGAAGAGAGACTAGAGCAGAAACATAGAGAATAAAGGAGAAACATAAAGAATAAAGCAGAAACATAGAGAATAAAGCAAAAACATAGAGAATAAGGTAAAAACACAGAGAATAACGCAAAAACTAAGAAGGATAAAGATGAACTTCCTCAGATCGATCGCAGAGCAAACAAACAAGGCGATAAGGGAGAGATGCAAAAAGATCACCGAAGAGATGGAGCAATCGTAGCAATCATCATTTGTTGATCTTCAACTATCTGGAAATCGAAACTTCAAGCGATTGCAACCTATACAAGGAGGCGCAAAACCAGGTGAAAAAAGCATTAAAGATCGCAGAAGCAAGCAAGTAGAGAGTAACCTCCAAATATACGACGTGATAAATCAGCCAGTGCAACCTACGGAACTGACACCAGAGTAGAAACACGGCGAATAAAGCAGAAACTAAGAAAGGTAGAGATGAACTTCCTGAGATCGATCCCAGGACAAACAAACAAGGCATTAAGAGAGGCATACAGGATATTGGCAGATGGGTCAAGAAAGGTAACACTAATGGAGTTAACATGGCGAAAGACAGAATAGCCAAAATTAGCAAACGCAATCGACTCGCGAGGAAAAGGACACCAGAAAGATCACCGAAGAGATGGGAGTAATCGTAGCAATCATTATTCGGTGAATAACAAAAGAAAGCTTAAAACAAAATTAGATGGAATCAATACCGATAAACAAGTAAAATTACGATAAAACCACACTTTAGGTAATTGTACGCAATTATAATTTGTTGATATTGATGATGAAAAAGAAGAAAATCATATTCTCCCATTATTCATTCATTTCGATAAGAAGTTAACTGATTTGGAGAAATACTCAAGGAGGAACTACCTTCTACTACGTGGAATGCATATATCTGACGGTGAAGAAACAAGACGAGTGACAGTTACATTTACCAACAAAAATCTACAAATAAAAATCTATGGAAAGTTAGGCCCCAATTTTTCGCACCCCTAAATATACAGGGATTTAGATGTACAGTAGTATTTTGAACAAGAGAACCTCTTAACCGATTTTGACGATCAATACCTCATTCGAAAGCTTAATGCTTAGCCAATGCAATGATGGTAATGCCCGATTCGAAATATCTTTCGAATTCCGCTAAAACGCAAAATAGTACGAAAATAAACCTTTTTAAGTGGTGATAATTCGTAATCTCGATTGTCAGGATCTATGCCCGGTTTCAATGTTTTCTCGTTAATCTTATACAGCTCTCAAAATGTGCTTTTTAAAACTGCCTTCTGCGATGAAATTCACTTATTTTAAAATTCGTTCCTTGGTCGCTCTGATTTCAGATGTTAAGGATTTAATTGTCGATAAGAACAAATTGATACTAATGTATTATATTTTACTTCAAAAAATATTTGCCGATATCGAGTACCTTGACATTGCAGTAGTCGATACAGCAATCTAGGTAAAACTACTTACTAAGGAGTGACTTTGAATTGTTACCCATTTGGAAAGATAAAACTTTTAGTATTTCTGACAACATTGAAAATACTGATTCTATTCAAAAAATCAATATTTCGCTAAGGTTATTAATAGGCTGTTCTTTCTCTGGCCTTTGAAGTGGAACTTTTTCGAGCTCCACAGTCTGTTAAAACTAATCGAGTTGGATATACATATAACACAGCGTGTGGTAATCGCTGGGTGATTTGAGCACCTCACTGCTGGTGCCAACCTCGAGTAAAGGAGGAGGGTTGGCAGGAATCGAAAGCACCAGATATCGACGACATAAACAACGAGCTTATTGAGTATGGAGAAGCAATACTGTTACAACAGCACACTAGAGTTACTATCCCTATATTCAAAAAGGCATCAAACTATAGAGTCAGGCTGTGGTGAGATGAGTGCGATTCAGGCGACGGGATACTTTGGGCGAATGGACCATGCCAAAAAAGTCAGACACCAAGCTAGTTAGACGTCATGGTCACAAGAACTTTAAAAATAGAAAAATCAGGACATCATCTTATTAGAAGTAGAAGATGAAGAGGCAGAAATCCCACTGAACTAAAAGAGCTATGCCCATCAGTATCTTAAAAGTGACCTCTACGATTGTAGAGAAGAGTGTTGTTGTCAGGATTTAGAATCATATTTGATTGAATGAGAGGAATGTGATGGCGCTCATCCTAATCGATTTTTTATAGGCCTTTGATGTCATCTAATATACCATAATATTGTTTTCAGTGCTTAATTACATTGGCTTTTCTTCATTAGTAATTGATTTTTAAAAAATCGTTTCCTAGATTTTGAAATTCTAATTGTAAATTTTGCCAATCTCTGTCCCAACCTTAAACATTATAGAACCCTCATGTATCTTGACGACATTCAAGTATAACTTGGTTTTATTGTGAATAACTTAGAAACATTGTTACAGGCTTCCATCATCGTGTTTGAATTATCAAGTCTGCGGTTTGCGATACCATGACTATGTACTTCAATATACTATGTACTACGTAGATGGCCCAAGTTTTATTGTCTATGCTCGCACTAATACTCATACTAACACTAATACTAAAACTCTGCTTTCGGGGAACGACTGTTTTAATTTGTAATTATTTAATATTATTTATTTCATAATCAATTATGTAAATTTATACTTTTTTTTAATAAAAAATAGAGTCTTTAATCAGCCCACAATGACTTCGCAAACAGAGCGAACTCGAGATACTTATCACTCTTAGGAAAAGTTTCTCAGAATAGAATATTGACCCTTAATCTAAGTTTCTAGATAAAACTCTCACTTCAATATTTTCCCGGAATTCACTCATAAATTAAACTTCTAAATTATGTTATACGATAGAAAAAATTGACTTAAATAAATTTTTTAGTCTATGCCGTTAATGAATTGATGATAGTTATAAATGTCTTAATGACTCATTTTATTGGTATCTTCTGGTAATAAATAAAACGAATCATTACAAAGTTAAGATTAAAAAAATTGGTCTTAAATACCAAAGAATTACAATGTAATTGAAAAACATTTAAACGTAGGTATTAAAACAATTTTCAAATCAATTAATCAATTAAATACATCGATTAGGCTTTATTGACGTACTGAAAAAAAAACTGGAAACAAAATGTATTCTCTCGTGACCAATTCAATACTTAAGTGTGTAAATGATAGGATCGTCTCAACAATTATCAACAAAGAATATGCTAGTCAAACCG